CAGTTTAATATTTCTTTTTGTTGATTTCATATTAATTTATTACAATAGTGTTATTGTTTAAAAATCATAGAATGGTCACTATATTTTGAATCTTTTTGAATATTTGTTTACTAATTACTAGAACATCTAAGTGACTTGGCAGCAAACAGATTTAAATATTGATAAACATATGGAATTCTGTGAACTGTTTCAGAGACCTAATAATGAAATCACCTATGAGATGACAGATACCACACCCAACCTGAATGGGGCTGGCTTGAACTTCTTCAGTATAAGATCTGAAAACAACAGGGGGGTTATATCCATTGTTCTACCCTTGTATACTGACAATCAAGATACACCAGTGTACACGGTTTGTATTCTTAATTCATACAGTCATGTAATTTTATTGTCATGTTTGTGTTTTTGGTGCAGGCCTGAAACAATTTATACTAAGTTTTGTAATAATTTGATGATTGAAATTTCAATTTAGCCAACTAAAAGAAAATATAATATTAGATTTAATAGTATAATTTCAGGCATTGATTTATCTTTAATTTAATAATTTGGTTGTAAACTGGATGGCTTAATTGAAAAGCTTTTTCTTTATAGTTTTCCGTCAGGGCTCGTGATAATGGAAGTCCTACTCAGTTTTCTGTGGATCAAGCTTCAGTAAGGATCACCGTGTACAGAAACTTATTCCCACCCATCTTCCAAGGAACACCTTACACAGCTACTCTTAACTTCAACAGTGTCAGTGGTACTACTGTCAAACAAGTCAACGCCACAGATGCTGATGCACAGGTAAAAAATTTACCTGTTTGAGGACTGAGAAGAGAACTGACTGTATTCTAAGACACTTGCTTTTCTGTGCATTATTTCAAGAAAATTTAATTTTGAAATTCTTTTTCAGAGTCCCCACAACGTTGTGACCCACTCTATCATTGGTGATGCTACAGCACAAACTTTGTTCAGCATTAACGCTGCCAGTGGTTTGATCACAACTCGTCAGAGTCTGCTCAATAACAATGTGGAATCCTCTTCAGTAAGAGTTGTTAATTCAGTTGAAACGAAAATTCTTTCCTTTGAGTGTGTTATCTCTTACACTTTAAGTTTACATCAATTACCTATTTTGATCATTATTATTAAAATGAAACAGGAAATGATGTTGAATAAGCATAAAATGAAAAGGGTCAATGTTTTCTTGCAAAAAGTAAAGTAAACTTAATTTATTTTAGATTCTGATTGAGGCTAGAGATGGGGGCACTCCCAGTCTATCTGCCACATCTACAGTAAGCGTCACCATTTCCAGAAATCTGAACCCCCCAGAGTGGGTCAGCACATCTTACACAGTCAACATTACAGAAACCCAAGATCTGGGAGTCACTATCACCAACATGAATACAAGGGATGCTGATACTGCGGTAGAATTGTGTTTTAATTATTTTCAAGCAAATTAATTTCCATTGTGACACTATCTTGTAAAACCCAAAAATTAGCACCCGTAAGAAGTGTTGTGAATACACTTAAAGTTCTGCATTGATCTGCTTGTCTTCTGTTTCAGTCGCCATACAACACAAGAATTACAACTTTAACGGGAGAAGCTGACATGCTGCAATTTTTCAGACTGACAGAGAATGGCAGATTGTCAGTCCAAAGACCTTTGACACTTTCAACAAGGAGATCATTCACAGTAAGACGGGTCATTTCAACGATCATTAACTGTCATCTTAGTCATTCCGTGGTAATAATTTTGAATGGATAAATGCACTTGTCATACTTTTCAGGGAACTGTATCTCTACAAGATGGAGGAAATCCTCCTCTGACACCTACTGGGGTTAAAACAGCCACCATCACAGTGTATGTGTCCAGAAATGACCACACCCCTTATTTTATCAACGACCCATACTCCAAGGACTTGGAGGGTAATATTCAGACTGGGGCCAGTGTTCTACAGGTCACAGCCAGGGACAATGATCAGGGTCCGTTTGGTATTGTTCGATACAGAGTAACTGGAGACGATCTGGCACCTACCTATTTCCAGGTTGACCCCACGTCTGGTTTGATTACTGTTAGGAACGTCTTGAGTGGTGTTAATCAAGATCAGTTTAAGGTAAATTCATAGGGTAAATTCTTAAAAATTTGAAAATTAAATAAATAAGCTTCACTTATAATTAGGGCAAAAAACATTTAATGAATCATCAATTAAAAAAAAGAAAATGAATTACTTTTTGAAAATTTTAGGGTATATGATTTTTTTAATTTCAATCAAGTTTTTTAATCACTTAATTTAAGGTAAGAATAGAAGCCTATGACCAGGGAAGCCCCAGCAAGACCAATGTTACAGTCGTAACCCTGACAGTAAAAAGCAACTATCAACGTCCAATCTTCAACCGTCTTTCGTATGTGGCACGAATCCCAGAAACACAGAGTCTAGGTCAACAGATTATTGCAGTGACTGCAAATGACACTGACGCATTGGTATGGGAGATTAGAAATTTTCAACAAAAAATAGTTTTGCTTAACTAGAATTTATAAATAAAAGAGAAAGTTCAATTTATGGGACATTTCAACAAATTTAATTTAGTTTTGTTAGGGTTGCTCGATTGAGGTTTAAAAAATGATAACATCATTATGTATAACTTTTGTTTCATGTACAGGCACCAAACAATGTTGTGAGATATTCCCTGACTGCTGGACCAGAGGATATTGAGTGTTTCCTTATTGATGCTGTGACAGGAAGTCTGTCTTTGAGACGGTCCCTCCTGTATGACCCATGTAGAGGGGATAGATATCAGGTAAGAAACGATGAAAGACGATCTTTGAGATACATGCAGTCATTTTATTTATGATTCTTTACCATAAACAAGAAAAACAGTATCTCTGGTAGTGTTTCAGAGAAGAACATGGAGTACTTTAATTCAAACATTATTGCTGGTATTGTTGAGTAAACTTGTATAAAATCATTTATTGAAGAGTTTAGTTTTACATATATTAAGGGCAAGTAAAGGTAATTTCTTTCAGTACTGACAATTTCTATGCATCTGAAATTTATTCTTGTCTTTCAAACAGATGACTGTCACTGCCACGGATCAAGGTTTGAATCCTCTCTCAAATTCAATTACCGTCACGGTGGATGTGGATCGCAATGCCAATCCCCCGATCTTCCAAAACATTCCCACAATCATTTCCATCAATGAGAATCAACCCACTGGACAGGGCTTTTTCACAGTCACTGCAACAGATGCAGATACAGTGGTTAGTTCATATTGTTTTTGTTGTATTGCTTGTTCGTGTATTTTTTCTTTTTTATTGATGTTGCTGATATTTTTAATTTGGTCTTAATTTACAGATTACAGTGTTACAGTGGTACACTACAAAGATTTTTTTTTCCCAAAACTTGCTTCAGATTTTTGATTATATTATTTCCAGAGTCCCTTCAATGACATCCGATACTCCCTGGTGGGTGATGGTACAGCGACTGTGTACTTCCAAGTAGATCAATCAACAGGCCTTGTTACTCTGAGACAGACTGTTCAGGCCGACACAGCTTCTACATACAGGGTAAAATTTTTATACAGGTCACACTCGATAAATAATCCATAATTTTCCTTTCTTTTAACCTTTACAGTTCCAAATTTTTAATTTGATATGGTCTTTACAGCTGGCATTCAGAGCTACTGACGGTGGAAACCCACCAAGGTATGATGAGAAAATTCTGACGGTCAATGTCAATCGCAATCTCCTCAGTCCTGAATTTGTGAAGCAGGATTATGCTGTTACAATCTGGGAAACTCAGGCCCTCAATGTTTTAGTGGAGGAGGTCTTGGCCCTGGATAATGACACTAAGGCAAGTTGAATGGAATGTTGTATTTTTAAAAGATCTGAAGCAATTAAAAAATTATCTGTAACCAGTTCATTCTAGGACTCGTTATGTAATTCACATAAAATCGATGTGTTGAAGCTATTTTACGGTGTACTTGCACTTTCAAGTAATTGAAATAATCCATTCATTTGTTTATTTAAACAGGCTCCACACAATGAAGTAACATATGAAATTGTGAGTGATGCACTTGCTCAGAATTACTTCAGGATCGACACAGAGGGAAGAATTTATGTCAGGATACCACTGACAGATGACTCTGCCAAGACAGGCCTCTACACTGTAAGATTTCTTATGATAGAAATTTCTTTAGTTCTGTAACTTCAAACAACAAAAGTTCATTAAATTCTCTAGGTTGTATGAATTAAGAACATTTAAAATTTTTTGAATGGGCATATCCAAAAAATCTTTTCATTTTTAATGAGGTAGATATTTTTCACTTCCTTGACTGTTCAATTTGTTTTCCATATGAGCAGTAAAGGTACATGTATATCCCACTTGGTCAATCTTTCTGAACCTATCAAGTGTGATCTGAAACAAAAGAAAAAAATATGGCAGTTGAAAAAATATATGAATTCTTCTTATTACAATGTAGTTGTCTGTGAGGGCCAATGACAAAGGAACTCCTCAACGCTCCAGTAATAACCTGGCCACTGTAAGAGTGACAGTCCTGAGAAATAGAAACTGTCCAACATTTACACCTTCCGTGGTCCCCATCTCTATTGACCAGTCCTCACTGAGTCGTATGATTTATGATGCCAATGCTACAGATCCAGACACAACTGTAAGAGAAAATTACAGTCTTAATTTTGCAGAAGCTGAATTATAATGGATTATTTTTTTTTGTCAGGCATTAATTATCTATCAAAATGGAGGGGGGGTGTTGATAAGAAGTGTAAATGATTGAAAGGTTTTTTTGATTTACAGAATACCCCATTCAGCACAATCAGGTACACTCTGATTGGAGATGAAAGTGCTCCTTCCTTCTTCAGAATTGACTCTCAGTCAGGACAGGTTACTACAATAGAGCCATCTTTGTTCTCAGATCAAGGCACTGTCTATCAGGTAAACTAAGTTGTTGTCTTTTTACCTCAAGTTGTAGCTACAGTCATTTATTCATAAATAAGAATTGGCAGCTATAATATTAAATATAGATGCAGAAAAAAATCAAACGGATCTCTCTGCAAAGTTTCCCACATGAGGCCGGTAAAACTATACAATCATGTGTATTACATATAATATAGAAATGTTTAAAAAATTGCTGTAAAATAGACAAAAAGAGAAGGAAAGGAATCATCAATTTTTACCCAAGGTCTGATTTTCACAAAAAAAAAAATTTTTCAGTTGAGGATTCAGGCTACAGATGCTGTGAATACTGCCACAAGCTGCTCAGGAAACCTTGTTTTGCGAGTTACTGTTAACAGAAACTTGAATAGTCCAGTATGGATAAATGTAAATTCACCCAATAACTATGTGAGAACAATTTTTGAGACTCAGTCTGTGACTCAGTTTGTGGTTAGGATCCAGGCTACAGACAGTGATGACAAGGTTAGTCTCCCCAATCCAGTGTCTTGCTTAGTCCCGTGGATATAAAAATAAAATCAAATCATTTTAAAACATTATAGGGAAAACTATTAGGATTTCTGAAATAAAAAACAAAAGATAAATGATCATTCCCATGCTCTCTGTTCATGAACACAGTATACTGTTATGTGGGGTGCCATTTTTGGCTCCCATTTTCCCCCGCCCTCTTGGCTTCATTTAAAGTTGATGAATTCAAAGAAAGCAATGTAATTTGCTATATACAACTTGTGGGCAAATTTTAAATGGTAGAAAAGAGCTTAAATTATCCTCATATACTGTTTTAAAAAAGATTAAATTGGAGTATTGTATTGTTTCAGGCACCAAACAATGTAGTCAGCTATGCTATGACTACCAATTCCCCCAACAGAGATTTGTTCTTTGTGGATGTTGATGGATATGTGTTCTTGAGGAACAGTCTTGTGGGACAAACTGGCGACCCTTACACAGTAAGAATTTTTTTGTAACTCCTGAAAGAAATGTGAAGGTTAAATTAATGCAATCAGTTGGTAAATGACAGAATTGTAGTTATTTGTGAATTGGTTCCATATTGATTGACTTTTTTCTCATGTAAATGGGGGAGGAGGGGAGTAGTATTGTTTAAGAAAGGTAAAATTGTCCATAAAATACCAGAACTCAAAAGTGCATGTCAGATACATAATATTTACTCAGACACAGAATTTATAAAGAAATTTCATGAAATGTTTTTTTTTTCAGGTGAGGTTTGTAGCCACTGACGGTGGTGTTCCTGCCAGGACCAGCCCGGAGGCCACTCTGACTGTGAATGTGATTCGTAATCAGTTCCCCCCAGAGATCACCAATCTCCCCACAACTGTCAACATCTCAGAGAATCAGCTTGTCAACCAAGAAATTTTCAGGGTCACTGGCAGAGACAATGACACATCAGTAAGTCTCTCTCTCTCTCTCTCTCTCTCTCTCTCTCTCTCTCTCTTCATCTCTCTCTTTCACAGACACCCATCACAATCTGAATTGTCTTGCTAATGAAATACATTTTTTACAGGCTCCATTCAATACCTTTACCTTTGAACTGGTAGGAGACAATGAAGCCACCACATACTTCCAGGTGGCTCCCGGTGGTTCAGTTACCCTGCGACAATCTATTACCACAGACCCTTCTAATTCCTTCCAGGTTAGTATATCAAAATTACTTAACTTCTTTCCATAACCTGAGAAAAAAAATCAGAAAGTATGAAAGGAATCAAGATAAAATGAAAGGGTGATAAATATATAAAACACACTTTTAGGGAACATGCTTATAATGAATTGATGCTTACAATGAAGTTATTTTATTCCTCTTAACTTTGAAATTCATTATAAATGTAACAGATATAATGAATTATGCATACAACAAAGCAAATTTTTCCATTCTTAGCACTTCATTAAAATCATGTTTTACTTTATTTGTTTAGGTATATCAATGTCTATGTAGGCTTAATTCAACATATGAAAGCATGGCTAATGTTCATTTGATTTTAGCTGCGTGTCCGAGCAAAGGATGGTGGGACACCCCAGAGGCAGGATGAGGAGCTACTGACGGTTAGAGTGGACAGAAATCTACGGAGTCCATTAATGACGGCTAGGACATACAGTGCCCGAATTCTGGAGATTCAAGCAGTATCAGAGCCCCTGGTCACAGTGCAGGCCACTGATGGAGATACATTTGTAAGTCAAGGTTTAATGAAAGTCATCAATATTTCTTCTAGCTTGTTAAATGCAAAACTTTCCTGTATAATGTAATTAAATATGTAAAAAAAAAAAAAAAAGTTATAATATGAAGAAATGGTTGGCCAAAATGGGACAGTGAATTAAATTAAATGCACACGGTTGGCCAAAATGGGACAATAAATTTAAAGTTTTGTATTGTACTTTAGGCACCAAACAATCAGTTGAGATACTTTATCGTGGGTTCTAACACAACCATCACTGATTACTTCATGGTAAACGAAGACAATGGCGGCGTCATGCTGAGGAGATCCATGTTAGATTACCCAAATCAAGCAACAAGATTTACAGTCAATGTGAGTAGTTCATTATCTTAACCAAATTATATTATTTATGTGGAGGAAAGTTTATAAGGTTATAATAAAGAACTGAAAAGAAAGTGCTGACAAAATTCAAAGGGTGTATAGATGAAGTTGAAACAAGCCCTTTTAATTTTTTTCAGTTCCAAGTCAATGCAGCAGACAGAGGAAGTGTTCCACGGACGGCTAACAACCCTCAGCTGGTGTCCATTTCTGTGGTCAGAAACACAGCCCCTTACTTTGAGAATGTATTTACATACCAGACCCAGGTGCAACAGAATGCTGCCGGAGGCACGGTTGTATTCACACCCTCAGGAAGGGACGCGGATGCAGATGTAAGAATTGTCTCTTGGAACCACTTTTATGAATATTAAGAATGATTGCAGGTCTTTTATATGATTCTAAAAGAAATTGCTAAGTGAGCTAAAAATCACTTGGATATTAGATCAGCACCTATTTTAGGGACATAACGAAAGCCTTCAAACAAGTCATATTCAAATTTTATGTGCAATTAAGATAAGAATTCAGGTTATATTACCGTATATCAGGATTTTTCCGCGTGTATCCAATTTCCGCTTTGTTCGCGACGAGTTCTGAATCGCGGAAAATAAAACAGCGTAAATTTCATACAAAGTTTTCTTCTTGTAGTAGGATTATTTCTTAATGCTTATATCGTAGAGGGTAAAAATAGAGGGATCAGAGGACAAGCGCAAGATACCGGTAATAGGTATAACTTATTGTTTGTTTACTAATTGACAAGCTAGCTAATTATATGAGTCACGTTTCTTGCGAGAAGCCATTAAACTAATTATACCTGAGCTGCTAGTCAGTTTGGAACAGTAAATGACCTATGATTGTTTAAATCTTAAAAAATAATATCTGTGGATTTGAGAGTTAGTACGCAACACAGGTGTGTAATTAGCTGAGCGGGTCTTCCGAAATTGACGAGCTGAAGATCGATCGATCTATTTCTCAACCGTATGAAGTAACTCAAGCTTAATGCTTTTATTTACATTTTACACCCTATTCCTTCATAGGCTTAAACAATTGTAAATAATATAATCACTGGGACATTGAAATAGTGAAAATTAGATTCGCGTAAATTTACTATATTAGTTTAGGTTCTGATTCGCGGAAAAAACATGACGCGGAAAAAACCTGATATACGGTATTTCAAAAGAGCTCCTGTTTTGCACAAATTGCAGGATTCTGTTTTTTTTTTAAAGAAAGTCTTGAAGCCTGAAATATCATATACTGAAAATGCATACAACAGTTTACATTACCTTGAAAAATTCAGTGATAGTTGATAATATTGTGGTGATTTATTTTCAGAGCCCTTTCAATACTCTGACATATTCTCTGATTGGAGATGACCCAGCCCCCTCTGTGTTCCAAATCAACCCAAGTACCGGAGCAATATCAACCAAACCAACAACAAACTTGACACAAACTTCTGGAAACTTTGTGGTAAAAATATAAAATACCTCTAATTGTTAAGAAAATGATAACTAATAAAGCAGAACTTCCTGCATTTGTCAGCATAGATGCAAAACATAAAGCTGTTTAATTGGTTCAAGATAACACTTATTTTTTTTCTTAAAGGCTCGAGTGCAAGTGACCGATGGTGGATCGCCTCCCTTGTCGGATACCGCGACAGTCTCCATCAATGTGGAAAGAAATCTGAATTCACCACGTTTCCTGCATCTCAATGACCTCACCGTAAATATCCCAGAAATTCTATCGGCTGGCTCAAACATCATTGACCTCAATGCCACAGATGATGATGCTTATGTAAGTTAGACAAGTTTTATAGTTTAAAAAGTAAATAACTAAAATTAATATGTATAACGATGTAAATGTAGGTATAGTTTGGCAAAAAGAAAACCAGATTTTGTTAAAAAAAAAAAAAAAAAATTGTATGTTCATGTTTACGATTTTTCTTTGGTAAAAAATTTGTATGTTCATGTTTATGATTTTCCTGTTGGGAGTTCTTTGCGAGATTAATTTGACATAATTATACTTACATGTATCTCTTTTTTCCTTTTTTTTCAGATACCAAACAACGTCATCTCATATGTCATAACAGGAGGAGTTGGAAATCCACTTGAATATTTTTTCATAAACCCTGGCACAGGTGTTATTGTCCTTCAGAAATCTGTGAAATCGATCGCCACCAGTAATTTCAGGGTATGGCAATACAAAATAGTGTGCTCAAATGTTCAGACTTTTCAATTTATATATGTTTGTTTTTATCTTTGATTTATCTCAAAATCTCTCAAGTTCATCAGTCTGTAACAAGTCTAAATGGTGATGAAGCACATTTATCATAATATCATATCATAATTTATCTTATCATAATCATACTTTACTATCTTATCATAATTTTGTGCCAATAAGATGTTAAATCAAATTATCCTGCTTAAAAAAAATAACTGTGTTACAGCATTTTAGAAGAATATGATGATAAGATAAAGTGATGATAAAACATGATTTTCTTCAGCTTCTTTTCTTTTGTATTTTTAGCTGACAGTGGAAGCCAGAGATCAAGGAAGTCCCCAGCGGTTTGCTACTGCCACAGTGCACATTAATGTACTGAGAGACAGTGGAGTGCTTACTTTCTCTGCCAATAATTACAATGCTACTATTAGTGAGAACACACCAGTCAGTGCATCAGTTGTAACAACAGTAGCCTCTCCTGGGGTATGTTCAGATCAACGGAATTTTCACTCAATGTTGTGAAACGTCCTTTTGTTGGTAGTGAAAGCAATTTTCAGAGTATGCATTTTTTTATGGCCTACAACAATTCAATGCATTGATTTAAATGGAGTGTGGTTTTGCTTTTGAACAGGCCAGCATTGTGTATACCTTGCTTGGTATAGGAAGTGGACCTGATTATTTTGGTGTCAATCCAACTTCAGGACAAGTGAATGTTATACAAGCCCTTACCCAGGACGCATCTCGACTCACTTCCTACAGGGTATTACAAAAAGTTTATGCATAATAATTTTATAAAAAGAAATCATGAAGTATGTTGTTTATCTGGTAAACTACTTCCAATTTTAGCAAATTTTAAGAGGTTTAAGTCTAAATGATATATTTAAAAAAACGTACAACATACTTGAGTTTTTTTTATCTTTTCAGTTGTTAGTTCAGGCAGTAAATCAAGGAGTATCAACACAGACTGCCACATCTACCGTTAACATTATAGTCACCCGTAATGAAAATGGTCCAGTATTCCAGCCTACTTCATATGTTGTCACTGTACAGGACACTATTCCACTAGGTTCCAACATAACTCAAGTAACTGCAAGTGATGCGGACAATGTAAGTACATGTTCTGGTCAATTAAAAAGAACAACTATTGTACATTTGTTTCTCTAAGTATTAAGGAAGCTGGAGAAAATTTTAAAGTGAAAGTAAGTGATGATATGTTTCCTTCATCGTTGAAGAGGTTGTAAGTTTTTTCCTTTTATCGTTTGAAGGACCCATTGAACTACAGAATACTGAGTGGCTCCCCCTACACAGAGCTGTTTTATCTGGACCCAGTGACAGGGGTCATCACATTGAAGGGTGTTCTCCTAGGAAGGACTGAAAACCAGTACACTGTAAGTGAACTAATTTAACAGGAGGAACTAACTCGACCATTAAAAGTAAAATATTAGTACTTGATTATCATTTTGTTAATTAAGTACTTATATATTATTGAACAATTTCAAGGACTTGGTTTTATTATTGTAGTTCACAGTACAGGCCAGTGACCAGAGGACTCCAGAGAAAACCACCACGGCCAACGTCGTGGTCAATGTGATCAAGGATCAGTTCAGCCCTGAGTTCATCCGCACTCCGTATAATGTTCAAACGACCGAGAATACCCCAGACGGAACCATCATCTTCAACACAGAGGCCATAGACCGAGATCTTAAAGTAAGTTTATTTGGGAAAGAATTTTAGTGGAAAAGAAAAATATCATTATTTCATACAAAAAGTTCAATTACTATAGTTGATTAAAAAGTAATTTTAAGTAAGTGTAGAATTTCAATAATTTGCTGTTTTCAGGAGAGAATTGTATACACTGTTATTGGTGACAATGCTGCTCCAGCCTTTTTTGGTGTGATCTCTGACAGAGGGAATATAACGATTATAAATCAAGCCCTTCTCAGAAAAGATGTGGGCACCACATACACAGTAAGTAGCTTTGGAGTGACTCCAAGCAGATATCACTTATGTGAGCAACACTTGACAGAGTAAAAAGCTAAAGAATGAACAAAAGCTGATACTTCTTTTTTTAAAGCCATCTTGAACTGACATTTTTTCTGATAATCATCAACATTAGCACACAGATGGGTTTTTTTTATATGGTCAGAGGATAACGTAAATGATGAAAAAAAACCGATCTCTTAAGATAAACATAAGAGAATTTGATGTTCTGTTCATGTGCTATATATTTCATGATTAACGTTTTGCAGCTCCGTCTCACTGCCCATGATACACGATATCCCAACAATAAAGCCAATGCCACTGTCACCATTACTGTGAGGAGGAACCTGAATGCTCCTGTTTTCTCCCTACCAAGCTACAGTCGAACAGTTCTGGACACAATTCCTCTTGGAGATCAAGTGGTTCAAGTTAACGCAACAGATGCTGATGGAGTAAGTTTTACAAATTTTTTTGATTACAAAAATTTCAGATGATAATCATGATCTGATTTTTTTTATGAAATTGCCTTTGAAGTTTTAATCTACTTGTCGGTAGCAAATGTCATAAAATTTAAAACACAGATGATTTTATTCAATTTCCTCCTGCTTTTTCAACATCTCTGAATAGCAGACCTTGCATGGTAAAATGTTCACTGTTAATTTATCTATAAAGTTAAGAAATTAAAGTTGACTAAAATAAGTGATCCAAATTAATGACTCAAAAGTCCTGCCCCCTAATATGTACTCGATAGTTTTTATGCATTTAACAAAAATTAGTTGAAATTCATGCTAATACATTGTTGATTTTGTTTGACAGGATCAAATTCGATACAGCATAATTGGTGATTCCAGAGCCCAGACTTACTATTACATAAATCCAGAAACAGGCTGGATCACAATTAAAAGACATCTGACCACAGGAAATCAGGATAATGACCAGGTAATATTAAAAAAAAAAGGCAAAACAGATCAATGACTGATCAGATGTTTTTGTTTGTTTAAGATTTGTTTCTTCCATAAATTTCTAATAAAATCAATCAAATAGTTCATTCACTCCTAAAAGAACAGCTAGTAGTGGAGGTGATATTTGTGAAATTTGACTAGTACTGTTGAAATCAATAACATTTCCAGACACTTTATTTTTCAAGGATAGGTTATTGGGTTTTCTATAAGCAACACAATTTCCATAAGTAATTATTGTAAGTTGTAAATGGAATACAAATATTCACAAGAATGAAATTTTAATGAATTTATGGTGTTCCTAATTAATGGAAGAAATAAAAGTTCTTAATGATTAAAAGTGATTTGATAGTAACAACAGTACAGTATGGTAAAACTAATGGTATTCTTCATCCCCATCAGATTCAAGTCCAGGCCTGTGACCAGAGAGATCCACAGAACTGTAGACAGGCTCTAGCTTTCATCACAATTGACCGTAATAAGGTGTCTCCAGTGTTTGTAAACACTCCTTACAGCAGGAGCTTAGGACAGGGCACCCCTGCCTCGCAAACCGTTGTCTTCACAGTCAGTGCTACTGATCAAGATATGAACCCAAATACAGTAAGTCCAATCAATGAATGTTGTTATATGTCATGTTTTTATTTAGTATGTGCAGAAATGAAAAATGTCATAAGTTAATTCCTTCAAGTTTGGAGCATATAAGGAACTTTTATTTTGCTTTCAGGGAAGTATCATGTATGATGTGATAGGAAACTACCCTGCTCCATCATTTTTCTCATTGAATACAACCACAGGACAAATCAATGTTGCCCGGGGCTTAATGGAGGACAGCTTACAGAGATCTCAGTATGATGTAAGTATCCATACACTCAGTTTTCCAGTAAATCTCTATTTCTCGTTGATTATAAACATTTGATTATGTATACGTGTGAATCAATATTTCTTACAGCTGGTTGTAATAGCCTATGACACCCAGTATCCTACAGACAGAGCCACGGCCACTGTTACCATTGTCGTCAACCGCAATCCTAACCCTCCAGCCTTTACCCAGTCTATCTACAGTGTTCAAGTAGCTGAGAGTTTACCTCTAGGAAGTAACATTACACAGGTTTCAGCATCAGATGCAGACAATGTAAGACTTCATGTGTATTTCAAATTGATAATAAGCAATGATTTTGTCAATTTATTTTTTAATGTATGTGATGTAGATAGTTTGTATTTAAAGCTTTTTATTTTTCTTCAGGATCCTGTTTCCTATTTCTTCAGTTCAGGAGGGAACACCGGGGCAGATGATTTAAATTTCTTTTATCTGAATGCAGAAACGGGAGTCATAACGCTAAAGTCCCTACTCACTTCAACATCAACTAATACATTTACGGTTAGCAAAATCTGAATTTAGTTTTAAAGTTTATTAATAATAAAACACTTTCTATAAATTCTGTTATCTTTTTAAGGAATTATTATAATTTTATTGGAATGCTGGTTAGCAAAAGTTTTGTGAAATTTTTAATTGTTTTCTTCTGATACAATTTTTTTTTTTACTTTCACTTTCTGTTGTTACACTTTAAAATGTCTAGAATAATTTTAGGGTTTTTAGCATATATGTATACACACACTCAATAATTATACCAGATTTCAAAGCACAAAATGTATATTAACATTTGACAAAGAAAAAGAAACAATAACCATAAATGATTTTATTTCTAGTTTGATGTAACAGCAAGGGATCCTAGTGGTAAAGTAGGAAGTGCTCAGGTCAATGTACTTGTCATCAGGGATCAACCCCCAGTGTTTGAGGGGACACCTTACAGAGTACAAATTGTTGAGAGCCAGCAAACTAACTTGAGAGTGTACACAGTCAGTGCAAGGGATCCTGATCGGAAGGTGAGTTCTAAGTCAAGGTTCCAGGATCGAAAGATCTAGATATATGGTAGAAAGAACAATTTCATGGGGGTGGGGTTATAAACTAAATTCACATTGACAACTACATACACGATGAAGCAGTTTTTCCGTAGTAATAATTACTCAATCTAAATATACCTAGGTTGTGTACACGAACATACATTATTTTCTATTTAAAAGAATGTAAATGTGGTCTACATTTTTACTTTGATTTTTAGGGTTCAATTGTGTATGGTGTAGCTGGATCATTGAATGCTCCTTTCTTCTTTGGAGTTGATAACTCGAGTGGAGAGGTTGCTATCAACAACGACTTGAGAAAAGACATACAACAGCAGTATAAAGTAAGCCTTATGTACTATTTTATATGATGGTGACATATTCTGTCTCTAGTGTGACAGCAGGTTTAAGATATTGATCCTCTATATCTAAATTTAGCAGCATATTTCTTTTAACTCAAACAAAAAGGACTGCATTGTGAAAGTTAAAAAATAGTTTTTAAAAATTTCAAAAATTTGTTGTGCTTTCTTTCAGCTTGTCGTCACTGCATATGACAGCGGTTCTCCTGGAAAAACGGCCACTGCTACTCTGACAATTGATGTCACTAAAAACCCATCCAACCCCCAGTTTGGTCTGCCATCTTACACCACAACCATCTGGGAAGACAGAGCACCAGGATCCAATATTCTTAACATCACAGCAACTGATGCAGACAACGTAAGTTTTTATTCTAGGAAAGTTAACTCTCGGAGACAGATAAGTTATATTCATTTTATGGACAAGGCCTATACAATGGTTTTGTCTGATTTCTTTTAGAGATTTTTAATGCACCAAATCTCAAAATGATGCACAGAAAATATCAATTAATAAAAAAAAAAATTGATAAGTATTTGAAAAATAGTTGTCCTGAAACTTCTTGAATTTGATAATTTTGTCATTTCTTTATTCAGTCATTGTAAATTTCTCACAATTAATGCCTCTAAAACTGTGATATAACACATCAACTGCCATTTTATAAGAAGGTTTTAATATCTGATCTTTTCTACCATAGGACGTTCTGCGGTTTGACTTGTTGAGTGATGGCACTGCGGCATCAAACAGGGCTTTAATGTATTTCTCATTGGACCCCACCAATGGTCAGTTCTTTGTGGCAAAATCGCTAATGGATGACACAACTAAGGCTGCAGAATACAATGTAAGTTACGGAGTAAAATTTAACTATATAACTCGAAGAAATTACAGGATTTAGTGTAAATTTTATGTGTTAATTAAGTAATTTGGAAAATACTCAGAGACAAAACTTTAAATTTAAGAGTAAAAAGACCAAATTTCTATTTATGAATTTTTAGCTCACCTCAACGAAGTTGGGGGGAGCTTATGTGATACCCTCGGCGTCGGCGTCGGTGTCGGCGTCGGCGTCCCGGGTTAAGGTTAAGTTTTTTGGAGCAGTTTTCTTTTTAAGTACTTTTATGTCCTATATTGATTAAACATGCATGGAAGATGTTTCTAGTGTGTTTCATTGTACCAGTCAAAGTTTCAGATGCTGCAATTTCAGCAAAGGAATGACCAGGTTAATGTTTTTGGTGCAGGTTAACATTTTTTTAGTTTTTGGTGTAAGTTTTTATAAGCCCTATGTTGACCAAACTTACATGGATGATACATCTTAGGGTGCATACTACCAGCCTTGCTTCGGATGCTGTATCTGACCTACATTTTCCGGTTGAGTGAACAGGTTAAAGTTTTTGGTGAAGGTTTCATTTCGAAGATACTTTTAGCCCTATAATGACCAAACTTGCATGGACGGTACATCTTAGGATGTATTCTACTAGACTTGCTTCGGATGCTGAATCTGACCTACATTTTCCGGTTGAGTGAACAGGTTAAAGTTTTTGGTGCAGGTTTCATTTCCAAGTTACTATGAGACATATAATGACCAAACTTGCATGGATGGTACATCTTAGGATGCATATTACAAGACCTGCTTCGGATGCTGAATCTGACCTACATTTTCCGGTTGAGTGAACAGGTTAAAATTTTTGGTGCAGGTTTCATTTCCAAGGTACTATGAACCCTATAACAACTAAACTTGCATGGATGGTACATATTAGGATCCATACTACCAACCTTGCTTCGGATGCTGAATCTGACCTACATTTTCTGGCCGAGTAAACAGGTTAAAGTTTATGGTGCAGGTTTCATTTCCAAGTTACTTTGAGCCCTATAATGACCAAACTTGCATGGATGGTACATCTTAGGATGTATTCTACTAGACTTGCTTCGGATGCTGAATCTGACCTATATTTTCCGGTTGAGTGAACAGGTTAAAGTTTTTGGTGCAGGTTTCATTTCCAATTTACTTTGAGACATATAATTGACTACTTTCTTGTTATGTACATCATAGGATGCATTTTACAAGACTTGCTTCGGATGCTGAATCTGACCTACATTTTCCGGTTGAGTGAACAGGTTAAAATTTTTGGTGCAGGTTTCATTTCCAAGGTACTATAAACCCTATAATGACTAAACTTGCATGGATGGTACATCTTAGGATGCATACTACCAGACTTGCTTCGGATGCTGAATCTGACCTACATTTTCTGGACGAGTAAACAGGTTAAAGTTTATGGTGCAGGATTCAAAGTAACTTTGAGCCCTATAATGACCAAACTTGCATGGATGGTACAAAATTATTTTAGAATCTACCTACATTTTCTGGATTAGTGGAAAGGTTGATTTTTTTATACAGGTTTCATTTGCAAGTAACTTTAAGCCATATGTTGACCAAACTTGCATGGATGATATAGGATGCACACTAATGTACTTGCTTCAGATGCTGAATTCGACAACATTTTGATAATAAACCTCGTAAAAGTTATGGGTGCAAGTCTATCACCAAGAAACTATAAGGCTTATATAAACCAGTTGCACAAATGATGCATCAAGGGATGAAAACTCTCAATCTTGCTTCAGATGCTGGATTTTAATTACATTTTTATGATGAAGAACTAGTTTTAAGTTTTTATATAGACCTTCTATTCCAAAGTATCAAAATTGCATAAATTTTGCACTTTTGGATGTACAATTTTTGTTGGTTAATTGTGTGACTTTGCCTTACTAAAAGACAACACACGTTGAGGTGAGCTCTGTAATCTCTGATTACCTATGTTTAAAGCATACTATTGCGCAATTTAGAGAATTTTATTTTTTTCCAATTGAAAGTTGAAAGTACGGGTGCGAGATCAGCAGTATCCTGATTATGAGAAGTCGGCAGAGGCTAATGTCAGAGTTATAGTCAACAGAAATCGGCAGAGTCCATTCTTCCTGGGGACTTACGCAAGAGAGCTGTCTGAGAATTCACCAATTTCCATATCTATTTTACAAGTGTCGGCCCAGGACTCTGACAGCCGGGTAGGTTTTAATGCTTATTGAAAACTCAGAACAAAGGAAAAATTTTAGAGCTTCAGTTTGCCAAGTTGAATCTTAAATATTTGTACTCACTAGAATCTTGGCAATGAAAAAACAATTTTTTTAAAACTATGGTATTTTAGTTAATTGAAGGGTTAAACTTTGTCCTATAGAAATGCTTCTGTTTCATAGAATTTTATTCTCATTCTTCATTCCTTACTTGCAGCCCACAAGTTCCCTTAGATATGAAGCTACAGGGTTTGGCTCAGCACCATACTTCTTCTATCTATCACCAACTAATGGGTCCATATATATCCAGAACGACCTCAGATCAGAGAAGAATGTCTTCCAATATGTTGTAAGTGTCTAATGAGTACATTCAATATTTTGTTTAATATTGACTAGGCATAATTTAAGCATATCATTTTTTTTACATGTATTTTTATGAGAAACTATTTCTTGTTTTAAATAATTTGACTTTTGATCAAGCGCCAATTCAATAATCCATGAATTCTTTTTTTTTTCTCGCAGCTTCAAGTCCAGGCCTATGATGTAGCATATCCCAATGACAGAGCAACAACAAATGTAACAATTACAATTACACGCAATGAAAACGCACCACAGTTTGACAGAGTCCAATACTCTGCCAACATCAGTGAAAGCACTGCCATTAATGTGGTAGTTTTACAGCTCAATGCAACAGACAGGGACATTGGGGTATAGTATTAGATGAGATAAATTCAGAATTGAACATTTAGGACAAAATACACATCCAAATGCTCTATTTCCAGAAAATTGATATTGCTTTTAATAATATTCTTTAAATATTGTATTTCTGCGTACAGGACAGGATAACCTATGGATATGATGGAGCTAATCCAGTTCCGTTCACTCGGCTTTTCTCCTTGAGTCCCAACACTGGTGTCATCACCGTACAGGCTGACTTAACCACTGACTTGCAGCCAGCATATACAGTAAGTTCAGAGGAGAGATTTCAATAGCCTTTAAGTTACATGTATATGTGTAGGAAGCTGTAGAACATTAACAAAGTTGAGTTCATTTCCATCGAATTTTTAGATGGTTTCTTTAAAATATTGAAAATATTAATTAGATGGTAGAAGTTGTGTATATTCATTATAAAAAGCACGCTAGTATTCAATGAATGTGTATTATTTTGCAGGCTACAGTGTATGCATATGACAACAGTAACCCTGAGAGGAAAACTGCAGTTCAAGTGATCATTTCAGTGTATCGAGACCGCTCGTCACCTCAGTTCTCTGTTGGAAACCAAACTGTCACTGTGTCAGAAAATGCTGCCATTGGGACATCAGTCGCTGCACTTTCTGCTGATGATTCTGATCGAGTGGTTAGTGATTCATGATTTTAAGAAGGACTAACAGTGTTGTATAATTTAAATTAAATAAACATATGTAACTGAGGATAATGTCTGCAAAATTTAATGATGTCAAGAATTCATGTGGCACTGCAGACATCACTTTATTGAACTAATGGGATGGTCAAGATAATGTGTAAATTAAAGTATGTCCATATCAAAATAACTTTGTTTTATTTCTATTATAGGGAGTTGTTACTTATGAAGTGACAGGTGTCTACCCTGCTCCCAGTCTGTTTTCAGTTCATCCAACAAATGGCGTGGTGTCTGTTGCCAAGGACCTACAGTTTGAAGCTGTCAGATCTGACTCGCAGTACAGAGTAAGAACATTTCTCTCATTCATTCCCTTTGTTTTGCCCTGAACTATGTATTGGAGGATGACGCCTTCTTCAAAAAGTTAAAAACATTTTAAATTTTCAGCAACTGCAGAAAACAATATTTATTGATTTTGTTTATTGCAGCTAACGGTAGAAGCCTATGATTCCTTCCGTCCTAACAGGAGGGCCTCTGCCACTGTAACTATCTTAGTTCTCAGGAACCCCAGTACCCCCACCTGGGCACTGCCTGCATATGCAGCCACTATCAGGGAAGACCATCCACCATTCTCAAGCATTGTTCAAGTAACTGCCACAGATCAGGACCAAGAGGTGGGCAGTATGAAAGCATTATATACCTATGAGTGTTTGTAATTCTGATATGCATTTTATGGGGGTCAAGTTAAATTGAGTATTACGATGAAAGAGGCATGTCTAATTGTTGAAGATTCACCACACTTGGTTTTCATATTATTTCCTAAGCTTTAAAGTACATTAATTTTTGTTGTTCTTTGAAGTCAATATGATGATATATTTGTTAATTTTTTATAGGACAAACTCAGCTATGATATTGTGAATGAAATAGATGAGAAAGCACTCAGCAGTGGAGCATCTGATAACTTCTACATTGACACAGATACGGGCATGATTTACCTGAAGAAGAATCTCATGAACACGCCATTCACCAGATTTATTGTATGTACATAACATGTAATTCACAAATCCATACAATCCTGATTATTGTAAAGTTAACATTTTAACATTTTCCATTTACTGTAATTATTGCTCAAAAATAATGTTGAATTAAAATATATATAATTTTTTTTTCCTCCTGTAGTTGACAGTTCAAGCTTGTGACGATGGTGTGCCTCACAAGTGTGCTAATACAACTGTAACCATCACCATCAGTGAAGATAAAAACGCCCCAGTGTTCAACAATGCTCCATTTATTAGGACAATCAATGAAAACTATGTTGTCGGACAAGAGGTTCTCGTGGTGACTGCCGTTGACAACAATGCACTTGTAAGTAGCTGCTGGTGATGACTGCATTTTGTCTTGTACCCCCAGTAAATTTAATAAAAACATCTGGAGAAGAGTTAAACTGATTGCTTCGTTTACTGTTTTGTGGATGATAACATGAACTAATGACAAGTTTTTGTGTCCTCGTCTTTTCTTTGTGTTTCTAAAAAGCAATTTTTACTCTATTATAAATGAAAGTATATCAGCTGATTAATACAATATAGACTAAAATACACACGATATAGAATTATTCTTAATTTATTAAGATTATAACTTTTTATCCCCAGATGTAACTTTGATTCTTAAAATATTTATTTTAAGAGTTGTGTCATACAGTGTATCTGGTTTTTGATAATTGTACAATTTTTTAAAGATATCACTTTTTGCAAAAAAATTTAACTATGATGATTTATATACTCTCTGCATGTCAAATTCTTTTATGTTCTTTCCTGAATCTTTTTCTTCACTGGTGTTTGAAGTGGTATTTCAGACTGTAAAATTTAGAAACTTAATTTTTTTTAAGTTTTATGTATATTAAAAATTTTCCAAATCTTAAGTACAAAATGCAAACATATAGTACTGTTTTATAACTACAGTAACTTATCCTGGGAAAAAAATCAAAATTATTTTGTCATGTGAAGGGTTTTTTCCTTCTTTTTAAAAATTCAAAACATACTCTATTCCCAAAAAATATATTGAAATGTCATCTTGAATTATTGCAGTAATATAAGATTACTTTGTAATACATGTACATGTATATGAAAAGTGGGTACAATTTAACCAATTTATTTTTAACATGTGCATAATATCTTGTACATCAGTTGACAACTATAGTGTAGTTAACCGTTTCATAAAGTTGTGTTACCATGCTGATGATGTTTCCTGTATTATATAATCAGGTTGGGACAGTAAGTAATAAAGTCTAAAACCAGACACATTTAATATAATCCATATACACCAGCAGCATATGTATACTTTACGTAGGTAGTTTACTTTGATATGCCGCTGATTTGTCCTGGGACTTGTACAAGCCACTCCATCTTGCTTTTCTCCATTGCTTCAGGATGTATATTGATTGGATGCCTCTGTTTCATTCTGTCTTTCTAGAGACTATCGCATTCGGAGAAATATGTCTCAGTACTGTACTTGGTGGAAATGAAAATTTATTGTAATGAATGTTGGGCATTGGTTTCAAAAGGACTTGGGATTTCAAACTGCATGAAATATGTCTTAAGAATTAAATGTACGAGATATGATTTGTGTGATGGGTACTTGCATGTTTGCTTTCAATTCTGTTATCTGGTTTCTAGGTTTATAATGTCTTTCAAATCAATAATGATCTTTTCTTTGTCTTTTGTCCTTGTGTGGTATAATAGAAGTGTACCTTTAAAAAAGCAGACTTCTTAAGAAATTCTAAATGCATGAATTAATGATTTATCTTTATATACATTGTCATGTAGTTATAAACTTATTTTTCAGTGATATCGGAAAATTAGTCTGTTTCAATATTTAGACTTCTTATTCACTTTACAATGTTAGGTGACATCTGTAGATTCTTAGGCCACCTGATCATTGTTAATACTTGGGCCCTGTTTTGTTCGTTTTGTAGTTTTAGTTTAAGAATTCCTTACTTTTATAGACATGCCAACTATTTGTGATATTCATCAATCTCCATCCTTTATAATGTACCAGAATTTCCAAGTATCATTTTGTAGCATCCCCATTTCTTGACTTCCCTTTGATATTTATAATTTATATATGATATAGCATACTACCATTATGGCATCAAGATATTGGTCATAAGCCATGATATGGTAGAATATGGTACCATTATCTTTTCCCTCTTTATCTTTTCCTTATAAAGATTTCCTATCAAATGCCATATATTTTGCCATTTATTTTCCTTTGAAATAAAAGAAATTTTAACTCGATGTACTTATTTTAAAATAAAAGAAAACTAACATTTGCAGTAATTCATAACATTCTTTTAAACAAACAAAAAGCCACAACTTATATTCTTGTAAATTTATATTATTGCTCATAATTATTAACAGCAATTTTATAACAACATGTATTTTTTAACAGGCTGCAATTAGATATATGATGGAACCTCCTGTGCCAAGATATTTTGCTATTGATGAAGCAACTGGAAACATTACTGTTGCCAAGTCACTCAATACATCCTTGGAGACAACATACAGTGTAAGTCAACTTTCTACTGAATCACTGACAATGTTTATAGAGTTATTTGACTATGATGCTGACAGTATTTTACACAGAAATGCTACAGAAACAGTTTTTCATTACAATGTACATTACAATGTACATGTAAATTTTGTGTCAGGAAAGCTTCTTTGGTTCGATGGAATTCAACCTTTTTTTATCTTTTGTAGTTCAAAATCTCAACCTATGACAGTGGAGAGCCACAGTATAAGTCTACAGCTGATGTCACCATCATCGTTATTCGTAACCTGAATCAACCCCGCTTCCTTCAGAATCCCTACAATGTACAGGTTGATCAGAATGCCAACTATGGGTCTACAGTGGTCAATACCACAGCAGTAGATGATGACAAGGTATACAGATTGTAGATAGCCAGAATCCCACAATGCACTGGATTCAAACATAATTCAAAGAAAATCTCTTCGGAATATATCAATACAATGAAAGGAAAATTAAAAAAGACAAAGTTTGATGCTCTATTTTATCTTATATAAAAAAGAGCACTCACTTGGCATGATTGTTGAGTCGTCTGGTTGTACGATATCAAAATGTTGTTCTTGATTTTGCAGGATATTCTCCGCTATACGATGACTGGTTCTGGTAATTCCCAGATACAGTCAGAAGTTCAGATGTATTTTGACATTGGTCCTGATGATGGAGTAGTCTACCTTAAACAGTTACTGACCAATGTTCCCAGGCAATCATACACGGTACTATATAGATACTAGCAGTATCATGTATGTGTTAAGGACAAAGAGAAAATAATATGATAATATTTTATATGCTAATCTAAAATATCATGTAGAAGAATTATTCGGGAAAAAAAACTTTAATTATTATAAGTTAAATTGAATTTTACTTTTTTCCTTTATTTTCATATGCCAAAAAAATTATATGGAAAAAGAGTGAAACAAATATAACAATTTTTGATTATTTTTTTTCAGTTATTTGTATTTGCAAGAGATCAGCGTCCTGTAAATGAAAAAACTGGCACGGCCACAGTGAATGTGGTCATCGATTTTGATGAAACTCCCCGTTATCTTGACAACCTACCTTACAGAGCCAACATTATAGAGTCACAAACCATAGATTCACTTGTATCTCAACTAAGGGCGCAAGATCCCGATCTGAAGGTAGGGGTCAATACTGCTTAATTTGACATCGCAATTTACAGTACTTAAAAATATATAGGCAGAGGTCTGGCAAGAATAAATGCTATATCTATCTTACTGACTACTGTCCTGTGATTTTTTTAAAGCCAGTTTTTTGGTAAAATTACAAACTTTACCTGTTTCAAGCATGAAAAAAATGATGGTTTTGTCCATTTCAGTGTCTGCAAGCAATTTGTAATTGAATTCTATTTAGTTTAAAAGGACTTTTTGAGGTAATTTGCCCTTCATGAGGTTATTTAAAGGAGAGACCAATATAAACCTTGTCTTGTTCTTGTTTTTTAGGGTGATCTGACCTATGAGGCCATTGGAATGTACCCTGCTGAAGATTACTTCAGTGTCAACTCCTCCACTGGAGCTGTTAGGTTGATCAGAGATCTGAAAACCGATCCCTCTGGACTTACAACTTACACTGTAATTCACGATTTTTCTCTTTTTGACTCTATTATTTTATTTTATGGATACGCAATTAATTTATACGTAAATGTACCTTTAATGCCATACTCGTCTTCTTTTTAATCATTACTGATATCACAATTTAGAATCAATATTGTTTATGTTGCTAGTAAATTTGGTAAAACAAAATATACTTGGAGGTACACTGTATTGTTTTCTAACCCTCTATGGTATTACTGTACAGCTGCGTGTTGTGGCTTATGACTCCCTGTATCCACGACTAAAAGCAACAGCAGACGTTATAATCAGTGTCACCAGAAATCCATTTGCCCCTTCATTCTCTCCCTCGGCCGACTACAGCGCCACAGTACAGGAAAATGTCACTCTGGGCTACTCAGTCTTAGACATTAATGCTACGGATGTGGATAATGTAAGTTAAACCATATTACTTGCATTTACAGTTGCTATTGTTAAAGGAAAGGTTAACTTGAAAATGTTAACATGGTTTTTTTTTTTATTTCTCATGTTATAAGCAGTTTATTATGTGTTACACAGTAGACATGTACACATTGCTTTTTGTTTTTCATGTATTATTGTATTTGTCTCATTAGGATCCAGTGACATTTGCCATTGTGGCCTCAGCACCTGCTGGTGGAGAAAATTTCTTCTACCTTGACCCAAATTCTGGGCTTTTGACAACCAAGAGGCTGCTGACAACAGCCCCAAATAACTTTTATCAGGTGGGAGGGAACACTCAATTTTATAAGTTCTGTGGATTGGTTTAAATTAACATGACTGGTGCATTAAAAATATGTTTAAAATTATTCACATTCAAGCTCAAGTTAATGAGGTTTTACTAGTATGACATTAAAACACAAAATAATCGCTACTTTATTTGCACTAGGGTGCAAACAAAAAATACTGGTTATTAGAAATTACTAGTGTATAGGAAAAAACTTGATTATATTAATAGATGACAATCCAAGCGTCGGATGGGAGAGGCAGAGCTGCTAATGCCACGGCCAGAATTACCATCACCCGTATTCCTACAGACCAGAGGCCATTCTTTGTTTCTACCCCTAACAGAACCATAACATTCAGAGAGGCAGTCAACAGTCAAATTGTCACTGTGATCGCACAAGATCCTAATCCAGTGGTAAATTTTTGTTTACCGTTTATCTGAAAATTCATGAGATTATTCTTCAGATGCCATTTATAAATTATAATGAGATATTTCTTTGTCAGTAAATTCCGTCGCCTCAGATCTAGAATTTAGAATGCAGAGAACTCTGCTGTTGCTCTTTTTTTCTTTTGATTAAATTATTTTTACATTATAATTACATGAAAGTAAAACTGGTTTCTATTCTCACACTAAACTTTAATTTCCAATAACATCCAAATGTTCTGAAGGATATGATACCATGCTTCTTTTAATAAAAAATCACTTCAACATTGAGCTTTAAAGGAAAGTAATAACTGAATGTCACTTTTCAGTAATAGAAAATTTTCATTGCAGAATGAAATATTTTAAAGAATAAGAATCAAGCTAATTAAGTCTTGTAATAACTTGAATTTATGTAAACTATCTGATATAAACAATATGATATCTATAATCTAAGCAATGAAATATTTTGTTTACAGGGAAGCATAAGATATGAACTTGTTGGAATTTATCCTGCTCAAGATTTCTTTGCTGTCAACCCTACTACAGGAGTGGTGAATCTGATAAAAGATCTTGCTACCGACAATTTTGAAACTATGCAGTACACTGTGAGTATAAGCACTTTATTCAAAAATGAGGTCTTTAATAGGAAGTATTTGTTAAAAGTTGAGAAACTTGCCTGCTGAGAATAAATGCAAATATTTATACACTTTTAGAGTAGAGATTGTTTTCTTTGCAAGTTTTGTAAATTTGTGGATTCGTGATATTTTGAATTATAGATTTTAAAATATATATACATATATATAATGAAATCATTTGCTTCAAATTTTTGCAGTTACCAAATCATTAAGCATTAGAAGAGAATTAGATTTACTTGCAAACATATAGGGAAAATAAATCTTGAAAAAAAAGAGGATTAATAAAAATCTTAAGCAGTTGATAAAGTGATCATGATTTTTCATCTTTTTCTTTTTAGCTTCGACTTGAAGCATATGATACAAATAACCCCAACCTGAGAGCAGTTGGTCTGTCCTTTATCACCGTAATCAGAAACCCAGCCTCTCCAGTATTTGAAGTTGGTGATTACTCCATGTCGATAGAAGAAATTCAGCCAGTGGGATCCATTCTACTGGAAGTTAATGCTACAGATAATGATGGGGTAAGCTTCTTCACTATCATGTCAGGGAAGGAGGGGGCTGTCATTTGGAGAAAGGGATAAATATTAGGAAAAACCAGGGTTTGGGATTTCTTCTTTCAGCATTGCACCATGAGGTTTATTGGAATCAAGGTTGATCTCTTTGTTTTCACTTACCAGCTTTTCCCAAATGGTATTCAGACCAGTCATGCATAGATGGTGCATTGCATTTTTTGTATGTGTATACGTAGCATGGATGCTAATATTATATTTCATGATCCAATAAATGATTAAGTTAAATGGAAGATTTAGCTAGGCATAGGTAACTTTTTGAATTATATCAGAGGGTGTCACCCGTGCTTCAGATTCTGCATCTGACCAATTTCTGGACACAATGACTAACATTTAATATTCATCTGTTTACCAAATCAAATTCTTAATATTAGGTGAAAAAGATCTAGTTCATGTACTTTTGGTTCATTTACAGGATCAAGTACTGTATGATGTTGTACAAGACTCTAATGGAATCCAAGCTAATGAGTTCTTCTTGGTGAACAGAGAAAATGGCAAGATTTACCTCACTAGAGATCTGAGAACCACCACTCTAAATTCATTCACGGTTTGTAGTTTTTAGGGGTTTTTTTTAAGTTCCAAGATGTAATAAAAATTAGAGAAAAAAATGATTCATTAAAATAATGGTGTACAGTTACATTTTTCAGTATAAATTGTTTCTATTTATATACATATTACTTTGATGTGAATGATAATTCTTTTCTTTTAAAATTCTTGCAACAGTTCCAAGTAAGAGCTCGTGACCAAGGTCGTCCGGAGAAGTTCTCCACAGCGCGAGTGACATTCACCATCAGAAGAGACAATGGTCCTCCTTCTATGCAGCGGGAATATTTTGCCCAGATAGCTGAAACCGAACCGGTCAACAACATCATTCCCTTTACTTCTATCCAGGCCTTGGACAACAACATAAGGGTAAGGTCATTAGTGAACTAGGCAATTGTCTTACATGTAAATTTATTACGTGTGGAATTTTCCTTCATGAATTCACCTAAAATGATATTTGATATTTGAACTCTTTCATGTGAAATGGATCTGAAACCCTTAATGAAAATTTATTTTTTTCATCTTCTGTAAATTCAGCTTGTTTTGAAAATTGATGATCAGATATTTTAAATTTTGTTATTTAATCCTCATTAACATGAAGTGAGACTTTACATGTTGGTACAATAAACAGATGAAATATGTAGTGATATTAAAATTTAGTAGGCGTAGGATGTGAATAAACTACATGAATGACAAAAAGTTTTTTGACTATATATGAGTTCAGGAATATGGAATTATCATTTTAACATAGTCACTGTTATTAAAATGAAAAAATAGAATGAAGTCAAATTAACAATTGTGTGACCATTTCAGGGTTCCTTAGTGTATGAAGAAGAAGGGGACGGACTTGCCATGTCATACTTTGCTTTGAACAGAAACACAGGAGCAATCACTGTACAGAAGAGCCTGCTTACAACCAATGAAACAAATTTTGTGGTAATCTAAACTAACTAATTTGAAAGAGTCACCTATTTCTCGAGTTCAAGAATGCTCTTGAAAATTCAAATATATGCATAACATCTTAAATATTTTCACACTGTTTTTCCCCCAAAGTCTTTTTCTAATGAAGTTTTGTCATGTTTCTGTTTTAACAGTTGAGGGCCATAGCTTACGACACTTACTACCCTGACAATAAGGCCAACACTACAGTCAGAATCACCGTGATTCGTAATCCTAATGCACCACAGTTCAGCCAGAGTGCCTACGAAACAGAGATCAACGAGTACCATTCCTTTGGTGTCACTGTCTTCACTGTCTCTGCTGGGGATGCTGACAAAGTAAGAATTGAAGCACTCCTAACTTTATTTCATTTTGTCCTTGATTTCCATGAGCATTATTATTGTTATCATTAATTTAAGATCCTAGGACACTGTAAACCAATTGTATTAGCAGTTACTTGGAATATACAGTGTAACATTGTAACTAGTGGGTGATTGCCATTCAGAGGTGCCATAAGTGTTGGTTATATTTGATATTGTAAAAAGATATATGTATATACACTGAGAATGTTGTTAGAAATATTGTATTGATAAAGTTAGTAACAAATTATCATCTAGAGAGAAAGGTGTGAAATGCAAGTAAAAAGATTTAAATATCACCTGGTGTTTCTTGTGCACTTTACAGGATGTAGTATTGTTTTCCATTGAACCACCAAATGACTACTTCTACATTGAGAAATACAGTGGCAGAATCTACATTCGAAGATCTCCAAGTGAAAATCCTTCTGTATCAGAGTATAAGGTAAGTTTACAATAAAAATTTAACCAAAGTTACAAAACTCTATTCAATTTATGATTGATTTTAGATAAATAATCATGTAATAAATGAAAATAATAATCGTAAACTTTCAAGGAACTACTGAATACACTGTAATTGATTTTTTTCTCCTCAGAAGTTTTAGGTTTGTTTCAGACTTACAATGTTGGAGTTTTGTCTTTTCCAGTTCTATGTTTTGGCCAGTGATCAGAGGAGTCCACCAAGGATCAGCAATGCCACAATGACCATCAGAATCAGAAGAAACCAGCCCCCTAGGTTCTTAAGATTGCCAGAATTTACCAGCACGTCTGAGAATGCTGCTGATAACTTTGTAGTGTATACTGTGCAGGCTACAGATCCAGACAAGAGGGTAATTATATGTCGACAAATGGGGTTTCAAAGCTCTTTTTAGATAATATTTGAGCCATGCACAATCATATTTTTCCACATCACTGTCCTTTGGATAAAATGAATATATGTTTAAGCTCTCGAGTTTACAGTTTATAGTGCAATGGAGTAGGTTAGGAAAAAGAGCACTCTTTGTTTACAGTTTATAGTGCAATGGAGTAGGTTAGGAAAAAGAGCACTCTTTGTTGCTTTGAATAAAAAATTGTCGTTTGACAAACAGATGATCAGTATGATGCATGAGTCCTTTGTTGTGTTTTTTAGCCTGCTGCCAGACTGGTGTATACAGTGGTTGGAGATGGTTCTGGTCCAAGCTTTTTCACACTGGATAACTCTACTGGAGAAGTGAGACCAAAAGCAGGACTGAGAAATGACACAGCATTACAATATGTGGTGAGTGGATTTTGATTTAAGAGTTCTATCTTGTAACGAATGATAACTTTGTTTGAAGGAGTTGATAATGAAAGAAGAAAACATATTCGCAAATTTAGGCCAGTGGACTTCCTGTAGAGCTATTAACCTAAGCTTCATTAATCCATTGCTTTTTCTTGACCCAAAAAAGTCATTGAGTCTTCTATGCTGACCAAATTGAACGTAAATTATGGCATATGCTTTGGATTGTTGTGAACCTGCCATAATTTCGTTTTATGATTTCTTTGAATGATTTTTTTTTACAGTTACGAATCTCTGTTTATGATGAGGATATCCCTGACATGAGGACCACCAGCACCTTAACAATCAGTGTACTAAGAAACACAAACCAGCCTCTGTTTTCTCAGCGGTCCTATGTCTACAACATCACAGACACAACCAGACCCAGTACTGTGGTAGGACGCCCCACAGCTTCCGATTTGGATGGAGTGAGTATTGGATTAATAAGCTGTCTCATTGCTCAATTTCCTAGAAAAGCAAGATATGTCACTTTAACAGTGTGATCAAGATATAGAAATTTATTTTCTGAATATTATGCAATCTCTTTTACAGTAATTTTCAATTCGGTATTTGTAAGCATTCTACAAGTTAAAAATATTCAAGTATTTTTTTCTGATTTTCAGGACAGGTTGCAGTATTATTACACAGCAGGGGATGCAACTCATCTTGAATACTTCTATGTGAATAGAGACACAGCTGAAATCATCCTTATCAAGAACTTGGACACTACAGCTTTAAGAACATTCAATGTTAGTATACATTTTTGACTTCTTCGTAAATAGCTATTAGGCAGTATTGAGAACAAATTTTCCTTTACTTTGGTTCAAAACAATAATACAAAGTTAAAATTATGAAAAAAACAGTACAAATTCTAGTTTGCTTTTCTTTTTTTTCTTTTTTGTCTATGAATGATGCAGTAACATATACTGTTTTATTTATATCACTATACAATTTCAAACCTGTATAGGGAAGAGAATTGTAACAGTATTAAATGAATTTTCTTTCAATAGCTGCAAATAAGAGCAGAGGATGGACGAGTTCCACTAAAATCTGACACGGTTCAGGTCACCATTAATGTAGCCAGAGATCTGGAGCTTCCAGTGTTCATTAACAGACCCTACGTATTCAACACTGATGAACAGAAACCTGTGAACTTCACTGTTGGGTCTGTGTCAGCAGTCGATCCAGATATCAGGGTAAGAGACAGAGGTTTACATGTGTATCAACATTTCTGAGTGGATTTCATAAGGCTTACATGTAATATATTCAACAGTTTTATTTGCCAATGGATGTTTTTCATAGTACAATAATATGTATGTAAGAGTACCAATCTGTTTGAATTTGTCTCAGAATTTGCTTTCTTGTGATATTAAAGGGCATTTTTCATACAGCTTGATTATGACCAACAATGATACCCATCAATTTGGCTGTTTTAATTTTTTTTTTGTGGGGGTAGCTGGAAGTTTTCATGTGCATGCCAATTTTTGTGCATATAATGGTTTGCAATAAACGACTCAAGTTTTTACCCTTGTAAATTAATTATTTCCTACAATGTTACTGTAATTGGGGAATTCAAAATAAAATATTAAAATATAGCAAGAGATTTAATATGTAGAAGAATTTAAGTGACCATTTTCCTATTTTGTTGTTAACACTGATTTGCTGTGTTTAATAGGATGGATCAGTAAGTAAATATATCTGTCATGGCAACAGATACAACAAACCAAAGAATACTTGTACACACTTTGCTGCAGTAGAAAAAGAAATGTATGTAAACAACTCCACATAATTATTCCAACCATTGTTCTAAAAACCATTGGTTTTCCTCATCATTGTCTTTTAATGTAAAAAAAAAAAATACCCTAAAGAGTGGAAACAATTGAGAATTTAGTACAAAGGGGAACTGCAAATAAATGAACATGGAAAGTTTGGGGGGATAGGTGTGGAGTTGTTTGTAATTGCTTATTTTTTCTGATATGTACATGTATATTGTATCTGCCTCCAGCCATCTTGTGCTTTCTGGCTTTAAATAAGGTTATTTTATGGTGAGAAGTGTTAGGTTTCATAGACTCTCTGAATTAGGTGAAAGTTTCAAGATTTATACCAAGAATTTCCTTAAGTATTGCATGCATTTCTTAAAATACAGGGATGAATATGGTGTTATCATGAATGACATTTAAAAATGTCACTGTATAAAGAATGAAGCAGTTGTTCTGTCATTGTGCATGTTGAGTACAACTTCTGGTAGAGGCTGCATGATGAATATTACATACATGACTCATTTATATAAGATCTGCATGAATATTGGGAAATGGACCATTTGATTAATATGTAATTCAGTCTTTTTTATGCTTAAGAAAACCTTCATAAAAATATGAAAATAGCAAAGTTTTAGAATTATCAGTATTGTACGTCTTATAAACTCTGATATTCCATAAAATGTTTCTCGTTTTGACTTGGTGATTTTCCTTCCAATCTTAACTTTTTGTCCAACCTTTTTTTTATCCCACATCACTGAAATATCTATTGAACTTTCAACTACCAATTTTAGCCGAAAAGTAATTTATTTACTCAATCCTGATTTGACATCAGTCCTTCAATCTTTTCTTTCCTTCCCATGTATATATATATTTCACCCATGTTAAAGAAAATATTCTATTTATTACTGTCCTAGTTTAAATCCCTTTATTGCGGTAAAAAGTATTTGCTTGTAGGAATAAGGTCATTTTCTCTATGAAGTTTTATATACTTAAAGATTTACATTTCATAAAGCATTAAATCATTCATACATAAAAGATATATTTCCAGTCACATTCAGGCACATTTTATAATAATTTAATTTTTTCAAGCATATTTCAAGATCTAAGAATTCATCTTTCTTTGAAAATAAGGCACAGAAGTACAGAAATATATATGTAATGATAATTGTTTTGGATATAGCTGGATATAGCTGTTAAAACCCATTTCTGTTGTTTCCATATTAGGATCACTAACAATTTGACAAAGTAGACCCTCAGATTATTAGATGAGTCCTACAGTCTTAATTAAGATCAGGTTATCTAATAAGCTTGTCCTATTGTTTTATAGGGTAGGATTCAATACGAGGTAGTAGGAATTTATCCAGCTCCCTCCTTCTTTGATGTGGATAAGGACACTGGAGCCATTAGAATCACAAGAGATCTGAAGGAAGATAAATCGGCTACAGGAACCTATGTGGTGAGTTTAACTTTGATAATGTAGCTTTTTTATGAATACAGATATGAGGGCTGGGAACTTCAAGGTCTTCGCATGAAAAGGCATTAATAACGGAGAACTGGGGATAAAAAGAATTTTTTGGAGAAAATTACTGCAACTTCACGAATAAACAGTTGCCAAGTATACTTATTGGAACACGTCTTGAAATTACACAGTATACATACAAAAGATTTTTTTCATTTTCAGTTGAGAATATCTGCATATGACTCCAGAGATCCCAGCAAGTTCACAACAGAAGATGTAACAATCAATGTGGCTAGGAACCTTAGCCCACCAAGATTTAGTCAAGACCCATATTCCAGAACTATCACAGAATTGTACCCCATGGGAGTGCCTGTCCTCAACATCTCAGCCACTGATTCTGATCAGGTGGGAGACTTTATATAATTAGAGATGGTTCATCATCTACATTTCTATCTCTTTCCAGGATATCTGTATAAGATGTACAAGATTTTGAGGGGAAAGAATTGTGCATATATTAGTGTTGGCAACGAGTACCCGGTTAACCGGTTAACCGTCGAACGATGCGAGTATCGGTTAGTAAAATTGCTATTCGGTTACTCGGATAAAATGCATCTTATATGGTTAATGGCAGAAAAATGAAATGTAAATTTGTTTTTAAGCGTACAAATAAACATTTCTATAATTTTTTTAACCGTTAGACTTAATGATCTATATGTATGGTTTCACTAATTAGGATTGACTGGTTTTCACACTTAATTGATAGCTTTGATTGCCAGCAGGTTATACAAGTTTTGAAGACCCAAGTTATAATTACCTCATTAGATAATTTAACAAGATGCCGCTAAAGATAGGTATATGTATGCACATGTATAGCTTGGAAGTATTTTAAAAGAACAACGGAGGGCATACTTGTAAAATGTAATTAATGTGAATTAGAGTTATCGTGACTTCAAATTTTTAAATTATTTTTCTCCTTGATCGTGACATATATCGGGGGTTGAAAAGTAAAGCCATAATTGTAAAATAGCGTGAAACATTGAATATTTTTTTTCTGCTTTTAATATTTTGATTATAATTATATATATAATTCAAGATATTGCGTGCATGCTCTTTTTAAGTTTATAAATAAAGGTAATTCACAATACCTCTGTGTTTTATTAGAACCGATGAGTAAAAGATGAGATAAATGATACATATGAATAAATCATCCGAGTAACCGGGTACTCGATCGGAAGATTGAGCGAGTAACCGGTTACTAAAAATCGTCCGATTTGCCAACACTAGCATATATCCTTTTTTTTAACAATCTATAGAAATGATCATCTATCTTGTATTTTTTGTGTTAGGATACTGTGTCGTACTCGATTGTTCGAGACAATACTGGTGGGAGTTCTTTGGTTTATTTCTACATTGATGCAAATGGACGCCTGCATCTGAGACAGCCACTGACATCCCCTGGTGTACCAGGACAGTTCAGTGTAAGGATTTTATTTTGTTGATTGATTATAGAATTTACATGAAAAGGCTTTAAATGTTTTTGAACGTTTTATGTAAATGTTTAGGTAACTTATATATGTTTATAGGGATCCTACCATTATTGTTATTTTCTAAAATTCTTAGATTACAGTGCTTACAATATAATTATCATTCAGAAAAGTTATTGTTTCCAAGAAATTTCTGCCATATTAAATAATAAAAAAAAATACATTTCTGTCTGTATTAGATGGTTGTTGCGGCTACTGATTCTGGAAGACCAGCAAGAACAACGGAAGTGAATGTGTTTATCACTGTTACTAAGATCAATCCACCTAGATTCCTCGGTACCCCATACACAAGGAATCTGGAAGAAAGAACAGCCAATGGTACCAGTATCATTACTGTTCGTACGGATGCCTCCACTGACATTGTCTATGAGATAGTGGGAGAACCACCCGCACCATACTTGTTCTTCGTGGATCAAACTGGAGATATTCATATTAAGAGGGATTTGACAACAGATAAATCCATGCAATACACGGTAATATTCTTGCTTACATGTTTACAATAATATATCCTAAAGTATATATAGAAATGCAGAATTTACAGAGCTAGATTTTGTATTTATTAAAGGGGAGGGTTTTTTTCTCTAGGGCCCTTCTCTAGATATGAGTATTTATTTCCCCTGTCTGTCCCACTGATATTACTTGTTCAGAGCTCATCTTCTATCCCTAGGCCCAGTCTGGCTTAAACTTAAGCCTGATCACTTGTAACTAAAGGACGAATAATGTTATTGGTTGATAAGGGCATGATTTGCATATTTTTCCTTCCAATGAAAACTCACTCTTTGAAACCTTCCAGATAAGAGTTCGAGCCTACCAGAGAAACACACCATCCAAGTACTCTGAAACGGATGTGATAGTCAACATGCTTAGAAATGTCAACCCACCAGTGTTTACACCAGACAGATTTGACATTAACATTAACTATGATGATCCTGTGGGCAGTAGAATCATTCAAGTACAGGCTGCAGATGCAGATCAGGTGTGTATTAACAGAAATAAAATTGATCAAAATAAAATGTTCGGAATTTACTTGACAGAACCCTTTATTTATGCCGATTGACCATACTTACAACTAAAAAAAAAAATCTGAAAATTTAACATTCTTTCGAAAGGTTTTGATTTATACAGCAAGTAGAGATTTTTTTCTTGATGTTGCAGTCAATAGAAATGTCGATATTTTCATACTTTCTTTTCGTTTTTTAGGATAACCTTCAGTACAGTATTACTGGAGATGCTGCTTGTCAGAATACATTCTACATTATCAGTGCTACAGGAGAAGTGTTCCTGGGCAAAAACCTAAAAACCACCTCAGATGTCACATTTAGGGTAAGTTTGTGTGATGTTATCCTTGTTACATGATTCAAGCAGTTCTGTACCATTAAATAACAAAAAAAGAAAAAAATCATAGAGAAGAAAGAACAAACATTTCTTAAAAACATCAAAATGATTTTGTATACATACACATTGTGCCATAAATACAGGTATAATAGAATTTTTTCCTATTATCTCAATTATAGTTCTTATTTAATAGCTGTTAGATGCTGTAGTGAAAATGAATTATTGATCCTCTAACATGTCTAAAGAAAGTCGTTTGTCAAATGTTTGTTAAAATGGGAGAAAGTTTCTTGTACCTTGGCACTGAATATGTAATGTTTTCCTTACAGTGTACTTTGAGTGTGACAGACAATGGGTATCCAACACCAAAAGTTGACACTGCACCAATGGTCATCAATGTAATCAGGGGAACTAACCCAGTCTTTGGATCTCAAGACACCACTGTCAATTTGCGTGAAGATGTACCACTGAATACTCAAGTCGGAAACCCCATCACAGCAACCAGAATTCCTGCACCCCAATTTCCCGTGAGCATTTTCAGTGAACCTACTTTGACCTTTGATTATTTTTTCTTTATGAACAGTATACATATATATTGTGTGTAGAGTTTGTGGGGCCTTGTGAATGTTATAGCTATCTTAATAATGCATCTTATTTTGGTAGGATACTATGGTGTACGAGATCATCGGCCAGTATCCAGCTCAGAGCTTCTTTGGTGTCAATAATGCAACTGGTCAGATAAGTGTCATTCAGGATCTGCGCTTGGATGGATTAAAGACCACTCAATACAAGGTAACTAGCCTGTTTAAATTTACATGACTGTGTGGTTAACATAGTTTCTTCTGTAAAAGATTGCCTCAGCATATTTCAAAATTTCAGTTTTATGGAAATTCATAAATTTTGCTTGTGTTTAGGTGTTGGTCCTGGCTTATGGAACTGACAAACCAGACCTTAGAAGCACGGCCACAGTGACCGTTAATGTACAGAGAAACCTGAATGGACCGAGATTCTTCCCCCAGACAGACAGGATAGAGTTACCAGAAACTACGGGTATAGATTTCTGGTCCATGCCTCAGAATGTCACAGATCCAGACAGTGTAAGCATCAACTGATAACTAAGATTTATTACAGTGATAAAAAAGGGGAAAAACGGTAACAAATACACCATGTATACATACAGTGGAAAACAAGGTAACAAATACACCATGTATACATACAGTGGAAATATTGCTGCTGTCAAGATGAGACATACTTGTTTCATATGTTTTATTAGCTCGTCCATGAAAAGTACTGTTTTGGGAACAGATTTCAGGACGGGATTAATGTCAGAAAGTTTTTAGCTATATATGTATTGTTATTTTGTTTTGTCTTTTTTCAGTCCAAGATCACCTGCTCCATCATATCAGATGCTAAATCTGTGGAGTACTTTAAAGTAGACCCAGACACTTGTGTACTGTCACTGAGAAAATCTCTTAAAGATGACCCAGACTTAACAACAACATACAATGTAAGTTTCTACAATTTATTAAGTCTACTTTTGAGCTTGGTCATTTTTCTTACAAATTTCCAGCTTTTGTACAAGTATTTTTACTTTGTTTGATTTAAAAGATAGAAAATATTAAGAATTAACATTACAAGACCTTTTATTTCAGTGTGTCTAGTCTTAAATACTGAGTTTGGAATTTTTTTTCGCCTTCCAGGTTGTTATTCAAGCAACAGATAATGGACAGCCACCTCAGTCCAGCCAAAAAACCGTAGTTGTCACCGTCCCTAGAGATTTAAGTAAACCCCGATTCCAGAATCTGCCACAGACAATAACTATTGATGAAACCAGACAAGCTGGTTCCTCAGTGTTTGTTGTCTCAGCAACAGACGACTTGAGAGTGAGTAGCTTTTTGAATTTTGTATCCTGTAAGAATATATATAAACGGTAGTTATCGGCAGAGAATTTACATTGAAATACATATTAAGTATTGCATCAATTAATATGGACTTCATTTTGTATTAACAGGGTAGACTCCAGTACAGTATCGTGGGAGATCTTCCAGCTCCAAGCTTCTTCCAGATTGATCCCAACACTGGCAACATGACCCTCCGAAATTCCCCCAAGTCTGATGGACTGGCAAGCAGCAGTTACACTGTAAGACACCCTATACTTAAGAACAATAAAATGTATCAAATAATGTATAAAAAGAATTATAAAATTAGTTCTCATCTAAAAATTACAGCCAGTATTTTTATCCAAAGAAATTTATTCATTATCGTAAACTTCTTCATAGAACTATTTTCTTGTGGGTTGAGTTTTTGCTACTTATTTACTGCAGGTAAGAATTCAAGTTATTGATGATGCTTGGCCCAACAATCCTGAGTATGGTGAGCTAACAGTGCAAGTGACCAGAAACAGACAAGGCCCACAACTCAATCCATCCACTTACAACCAGAATATCAGGGCCAGTAACCCTGTAGGTTCTACCATTGTGACCATTGGAGCCTCAGACCCAGATGGGGTAGGTTTACTTATGCTTGTTATTATAAACAAGTGAAAATTGAGGAGTTAAATTTGTGTTTTAATGTGTAGAACTGATTGTTTCAATGTTTATATCATCTTTTTATCAATGGGAATTAAATTGTCCTTTTTCTGTATGCAGGATAAACTTGTATTTGTGAACCGTGGAACAGCCAATGACAAGAAGTATTTCTTTGTACAACCCGAGACGGGAGCTGTGATTCAAATTGGAGACTTGACTGAATTGACAACCCAGACAACTTTCCGAGTAAGCAATTGTCAGCAATTCTCAAATTAAGGCTTTCTCTTTCAATATCACATCCATCCTCTATTATCTTTAAAAAAGGAAGAATAGTTTAATTGATGCGAACATTGATTATTAGAGACAGAGAAATAATTATCAACTTGAGTTTTAGATTCGGGTAGGGCTTTTTTATTGGCGACTTAACAGGCATCACCGAATGGCCATATTTAAAGAAGACCATTTTCACATAGTCATTTAAGAATTACTCTTTTATTTCAGTTCAACGTTGATGTGTCAGACACTCGCCAACCTCAGAACACGGTGACGGCTAGTGTTACTATTACGGTCACCCCATTAAGCGGACCCCCAGTATTCACCCAGAATTATTACACTTTTGATACCTCCATAGTAACACCTGTCAATGCCTCTGTTGGAACTGTGTCCGCTGTTGATAACGACCTACAGGTAAAGGATGATATGTTGCTAGCATTCTTATCAAAATAATCATAGCATCAATTGCTCATTTTGTGAACAGGTGTATGCACATTGATATTGGGCTTTTAATTCCTGGAAAGGCATAGAAAATCTATGAAAACTAGTTTTGATTTATTTGGTATCATTTTCATAGTAAAACAAAATCTTCAAGTGATCAAATAAATTTAATGTGTGGAATTAAAAAGATGACAAAGCCAGGGATAATAAACTATGCTTTAACTTTAATTCATCAATTTTATAGAGATTGATTGTTTCCTAATTTGTGTTTATATTTGAATAGCAAATAAAAATTTTCAAAAATTACTAAATACACATTATTGATACTTGTCCATTATCCATGTTAGGGAGCTGTGGTGTACAAAGTAAACGGATTTACTCCAGGCACGGAATACTTCAGAATGGATCCAGCCGGATCTTTTGTCTATATTAGAGTGAACAAAAGATTGTTGGACAATCCTAGTGTTACTTCATACTTGGTAAGATCTAGTTCACACTACCTTTTACAAATAAATCAGGGGATATAATACCAATGATGCTAAAACAGTAATTTGTCATGTTCTTACAAGAGGCCATTATGATTTAGAACTTCACCTATTTTTTTAGCTGTTGCTGGAGGCTTATGATGACCAGTACCCAGAAGATAAATCCTACGCTTCAGTCACCATAAATATCTTGAAGAATGTCAACCCACCCGTCATTGTTCCTTCCCAGATGTCAGCCACAGTGAATGACTATGACCCACCGGGAACTCCAGTTATTGATGTCAATGCCACTGACTTGGATCAAACTGTAAGGAATACCAAAGCAGAGTACTTAATATACACCCATTGCATGTAAGACATAGCGTTTGAGAGGGTATTGTTAACATTTTATTTCCTATATCCTTAGCTCCCGGAGAAGACCCTACTGTATACTATAGAGGCTGGACGTGATCCCATGGAATACTTCACCATTGATCCTATCTCTGGATTAATATCTGTGGATAGAAGGCTCTCTGAAGACCTCAGTAGACCCTCTGAATATGTGGTATGTATAGTTAACATCAGTGCAGGGCAAAGTGCTTTGAATGAAAAATAAACACTCAGGTTTCAGAAAGAGAAAATTAAATTGATCCCCCAATTTTTTTTTTTTCTGAAGAATATTTCGGAGTTGTTTTTCTTTTTATGTCAGACACATGAGACCATTCAATTTAAAAAAAAACAAAAAAAAAACAGTTTTTTGAAATTGCTCATCTAATAGATTTCCTTGGTTTACACAGACAACCATTGTTTCTGAGCTTTCATTTATTGATTCAATTTTGGAATGAGATAAAAACAAGCGATTTTCTTTTCCCTTGTCTTAGCTGCGAGTCATTGCTCGAGACACCAGTGCTACTCCCCAGTCGGCCACAGCTACAGTGACAGTAAGCGTCAACAGGAACACCAGGCCACAGTTTGTTGACCCCGCCCGTTTTGTATTCAGCCCCTCAGAAGCCAGGGCTGTGTACGATTCTCTGTTCGTCGTGTCAGCTACAGATCCAGACTCACCAGTGAGTGTGAATTGTAACGTGTTATAATTATTAATACAGTATTCGTTAAATCTGGACACCACTTGTTGCAAAGAAATTGACTGGATAAGGCAACATTCTAAATAAGACAAGATTTAAAACAATTAAATTTTTATACTGCAATAGACTTGAAGTTTACAGCATATTAAAAAGGATTTCAGTGTATTATAAAAATAACAATTAGAGGAAATTGATTGTGTGTAAAGTTTCAACCTCTCTCTACACAATCTTTTTGTTTTACAGTTACTGTTGAATGGACAATTGGAGTTCTACTTTGTGGGACCGGTGAATGCTAGTCGAGTGTTCGGTATTGATCCAGTCTCTGGTAGTATTTTCCCACGCATCAGCTTACAAGATGTCACTCAGGATCGCTGGACTTTCACGGTGGGAGTCCGAGACAAGGGAATCCCCCCTCTGTCTGTGGAGACTCCAGTCACCGCTAACATTCAGAGGATTGGTAAACCTGTCTTTGACAGTGTTAGAATCGACGTCACCAAATTCGAAAATGCACCCGTAGATGAGGTTGTTACCCCGGTTACAGCCAGAGATCCATTGCCAGGGGTAAGTATATAAGCTGATCGCTTTAAAAAAGGGTGGAAAGTCACTGATATTTAATCCTCCTCATAGCTGTGATTTGAAAGATCGATACATATTATTCAGGGTGATGTATTAAAAAAAATTGAGAATGGATAGTTGATATGAGAAGTTGATGTAAATTTGTTTTGTTATTTTTCATCAGAGCACTCTTGTGTATGAAATCCGAGGTGATGGATTAGCCGGGGAATACTTCAAGATTGGAACTGATGGAGTGATCCGAATTAACAAGTCCCTGTTTCTGGATGATAATAAAACACCAACATACAGGGTAAAATGTCTTTAATATGTATTTTCACAATAAAGTATACTGTATACAGGGTTATTTTCGCCCCGTCTTATTTTCGCCCTTTCACACTTGCAAACAATTTTGCCCCGTTTTAAATTCGCCCAATCATAGTTTTGTTTAAGAAATTATACTGTATTCTTTGAATTCGCCCCATTTTAAATTCGCCCAAATGAGAGTAGGGCGAAAGGGGCGAAAATAAAACGGTTGAAAATTTCCCTGTATACAGTAATCAATATTAGTTCAAATGAAGTCTAGTGAAGTCAATTTCTCAAGCATACTGTAGATCACTAAATTTTCGCGACACCTTATTTTCGCGAGATAGTAATTGACTCTTGATTAACGTGACAAAATTTTCACGAATTGTCGTTATTGCTCTATATAATCTTAAGGAATACTATTATACGCGAGAGTTAAATCTTATGAGCACATTTTACCGAAAATAAAGTTTAATAAAAAGTGATTTACAGTATATGAAATTTTCCATTAATTGGCACAGTCTTGTTAGAAGTTGGAGACTTTTAAAAGTTCACAAATGTCTGTCCTAATTTCAATCCATTAAATTTCAGATTCGAGTGGTGGCTTACAGACAGACCGATCCACTACAGCAGGCCGAGGCATTCGTCTATGTGTTGGTAATCAGAAATCCAAACCAACCCTTCTTCTCCCATGGAAATCTGGAAACAACCATCAATGAGAATACAGAAATATCTTCATTTATTATTAGTGTCAACGCTACTGATAATGATCAAGTAAGCTTCTTAAAATCATTTAATTCATGGTATTTTTTTGTCCCATTCCATAACACTTTTAACTTATTAAAGGCACTAGGAATTTTGTAGTCTAGGTCACCTACACGTTTGTCGCATCGATGGTCTCACACCAAGTGGGGGATCAAACGACTTGCGTGACCTAGGCTAGGAATTTTGACCTTGGGAGTTAAAAAAAAATGTAACTCCAGATGCATTGTAATGCATATAATTGAAATGAGCACTCTTTAAACACATTTTGTTCTTTAAGGCCATATCCTTTATTAGGAGATAGTTTTTTTTTTCTTTTATTATTTTGTTAACTATTAAATTGTGACTTACTTCTAGGGAGAAAATGGGGAGATTGTGTACTTCTTTAGCAGTCAGGAGTCACAGCCTGTTTATGCAGCAAACTATTTTTACATCAACCCCACCACTGGTGACATCACCTTGTCTGCCAGGCTGAGGGATGACCCAAACACTCCTCAATACCAGGTCTGTAAATAATGTAAAAAAAAGTATCTGATTGTTTCTTCACTTTGAAGCCAGAGAGTAGATATGCAATATTTGTAAACAGTTTCAAAAGTCTTTGGCCATATTTTGTTAAAAATGGAAAACAAACTCGAGTTTAATTGTCAAAGATTTGTGATTTATATTTTTTAATCTATTTTTTATCTATTATCTGTTTTAATTTCTGTTTAGTTGCGAGTCATTGCTAGAGACAAGGGAGTCCCAAGTAAGCAGGCTGGGGTCACTGTCACAATAAAGATAGAGAGAAATCCTCATCCTCCATCATTCATACAAAGGTCGTACGAAGCTGATGTCAATGAGAGTATACCTGTGGGAAGCTCAGTCATTCAACTTGCTGCTCAGGATCTGGATGGAGTGAGTACATTTTACCTTCAAATTTTGAACTCATATTTGGAATAGTCAACTATTTTTGTCTAAATAAAATCCATTAAGGAAAACTCTGTGCAAAGTCTCAGATATAAAGGATATTGGGGAAATCCTGAAAAGAATTTGTCTGAATTGTACATACACATATTTTTATTAGTGTTGGCAACGAGTACCCGGTTAACCGTCGAACGTTGCGAGTATCGGTTAGTAAAACTGCTACTCGGTTACTCGGATAAAATAAATTCTACATAGTTAAGGCATTGAAAATGAATGTTTTGTAATTTATAAATATATACTAACTTACACATTTCCCTAATTTTAGGCTTACCATTAGACTTGATCTAGTGCATGGTTGTAGTGAATTAAATTGTTTTGATTAGTTTTCACAGTTTATATAATTGATAGCATTGATTGCTTGGGGTATATATATTTTGAAGGCCTGCGTTATAATTACCTCATTTGATAATTCAACGAGATGCCGCCGCAGACATAATAAGTTTCAAAAGAACATTACAAAATCTGTTAAATCACCTGCTTAAATTATTCGGAAACCAGCGATTTACTGGACACACATATTAACATTAAGTTGTAAATAATTATTCTCCTTGATTGCGACATATTTCGGGGGCTGAAAAAGAAAGTGTAAAATGGTGATTGACGATGACGTATTTATTTGTCTTTGTGTGTCGAATTCCCTATTAATTTTCTTTATTTTAAAATCGTAGATCTTTGACTATATCGTATGTGTGTATTGTAAATATAATGTCCCTATAAAGTGTATTTGTGCAGTACTACTACCGATAAGTATAGAATAAGATAAATAATAGATATTGATACTTTTACCAAAAATCATCCGAGTAACCGGGTACTCGATCGGAAGATGAAGCGAGTAACCGGTTACTAAAAATCATCCGATTTGCCAACACTAATTTTTATGAAGTAAACAGCATTGTAAAAAAAAAAACTGAGCACATACAAATAAGCATAAAAGCTTTCTAACAGAGTCAAATTATTTCATGTATATGAACAATATCATAATTTTATTTTGTGTGTTTTTTATTTATCACAGGATCCAATTGTATATAGCATCAACTATGACCCCCCAGCCTCTTTATATTTTAACATTGACGGTAACACAGGTTTGATCAGAACAGCCACAACCCTTTACCAAGACGAAGCTGACCGATATGTGGTAAGTGTTTCATTCTATTTGAGCAGAATTGATGAACCTAAGGCTTGACTTAGTGGAACTTGTGTATTTTGTTAGAGGAGCATTGTTATGGGTTATAAAATTGTTATAGGTGTCATTGGTTTCTTGTGGGTTTCTGGTAATGTCAGTGCATTAACTTTTATGGATATTGTTACAGCTACTTGTCACAGCTTCAGACCAGACCCTCCAAGGAACTGCCACTGTAACCGTCCGAGTTCATCGTAACGTCCACAGACCCGTATTTGCTGACCCTACCCACACGGTGACAATCTCGGAATACGAGGATCTTAACACTATCATCTACCGTGTGGTGGCCACAGATAATGATAACAATCGCAGCAGCAGTGGAATTCTGAGATACTCCCTTCTAAGGACCAGCGGTTCTGTCTTTATCATCAGTCCTACCACGGGAGAAATTCAACTCGCACAGTCACTGACTAACAACAAGACTGCAGACCAATACACTGTTAGTACAGTTTGGAAATTTTTTAGTAGTTTGAAAATTTATGAGGATTAAATTTGTATCATTAACCCCCAACCCAACCCCTTTTAGAAGTAATCATTGAAATTTTGATCTGCTCAGATTTGATAATTTTGTTTTAGAGGGATCTTCAACGTAAGAAAAAGCTTTGCTTCATCTGTTGTAACCATAAATCCTCCCCTCTCCGCAAGAAATTTTCAGTGTTTAACTTTTTATTTCTTTGTGTAACAGCTCACCGTCATGGCAAAGGATGTCTCAAGTAATCCCAAAAATGCTACTGGAACTGTCACTGTCAACATTGTCCGCAACCAATTTACTCCCGAGTTTAATTCACAAAGTAACATAACAACGGCTAAAGATTTAGACAGTTATGGGACATCTATAGTCAATGTTTCAGCAATTGATAGAGACAGAGAGAATCCATATAGTGTAAATGTAAGTACTATTTTAACATTTCTGATCACATTACCATTGTAAAAAATTTCTGCAATAACTTTCCAATTTAATTTTTTAAAATCACTTTTATAATTAAAATGTACCTTTTCTTTTAGACACCCAATGCTCAGGTTGTTTATTCCTTGCCATCAGATCTATCGACAGATAATAGGTTCTTCCATATAACCCCAGAAGGAAATCTGAAAGTAACACAGCCACTGCCAACAAATGCAGACAAGACTGAGTTACCTGTAAGTATTATAGTGGGTTATACAGTGGAACCCAGATGAAAGTTTTTGTAGCAGATTTTTTTTCAAATACCTATTATATGCCCAATTTTGATCAGAGTTACATGGACAATGCATCAAGTATTTTCTGTGTGTCAATAATGTTTATTTTGTAGGTACGAATTAGAGCTTGTGATAAGAGCTGGAATCAAAAATGTTCTGACATACAATTGAATATTCCATTAACTCATCATGGAAGCCCAGAAGGTCGACTTGGTTTTAAACAACCAGTTTATTAGTAAGTCAGTTGTCTTTTTTATTTGACCCATTGGCATAAGGCCATAATAAAAATATTCCTAGATTCTCATCCCTGCCCGCCCAGATTTTATACCCCCGCCTCGATTTTTTTTTAATTTCTGTTTTTCTTCGTCTTAATTCTGATCGGGATCGGTATTCATCTTCCATTCTACTTTTGTTTTAAATCCTGTGAAAGTCGACATGATTTTGACAGCTGAAAATATTGAAAAATTGCTGTAATACATGCGTATATATTTTAAACAAGGGTCATTGGTTGAAAAGATTGGTGATGATGTGAAGTAAGAGATAATTGAACCTTTACTATGACTTTTATTCGGGTATTTTAGATAAAATTACACCGATTGACCAGGTCAATAAAAAATCTGCAAAATTGAAAAAATAAAAAATATTAAATAAAAGCCGCCCGCCCGCCTCGATTTTTAAAAAAAATTTGGATTAGAATCTAGCAATTTATTTATTATGGCCTAATGGGTAATTTTTTTCTATATAAAAAAATTCTGATTTGTTGATGACATATGTGATTATATTGGAGAAGAATGGCTTTAGTATTTCTTTTACCAATTTGTCGATTACAAAAAGATTCAATTTGGAAATTGATATTGATGATGTAAATATTTCGACAACTTTTAATGCCTTCTCTGGTATGAATGTCATATCTTTTTTCTAGCTCACCTCAACGGAGTTGGGGTGAGCTTATGTGCTGGATGTCTACTATAGATTCCTTATTATACGTGGGGAATTAATTATCGCGTAATTTCGCGAGAAGCAACACTGAATATTGAATAATTGCTGTATTGGGCCCCTTGATAATAGAGCAACTTTTTAAGAATTCTTGAAATTATTAAGATAATGCTGAAAAAAATTACTCGCTTTTATTTTTATGTTGCTGAAATCCATGTAAATTCTATTGATCAAGCATCCAATCGCGAATTATTATTCTTGCGATTTGACGTTAGAGAGCTGTCTCACGATAATAAGTACTCGCGAAAAATAAGGAATCTACAGTATTCCAATGTAAATGTGAGCCCTATAAGATCAAAATTGCAGAAATGTTGCATCTTTGGATGTACACTAGGGACATCGATTTACTTGCAGACAGCATCCATTGATGTGAACTCTGTAATCTCTAATTATCTATGTTTTCGTTTCATAGCAAAGAGGTGCCAGAGAACTTTCCACTGAGTAACGTCATTGTAGAGATGGATGTGGAGTACCAAGGAGCCTCCTCCATCAAATGTACCATTGCAGATAAGAACATGGAAAACAGGTTCTCTACTAAAAATGATAATCTCAACAAAAACTGTCAGCTTATATTGCTTCACCAGCTGGACTTCAGTGTACAGGACAAGTACAACGTAACAGTGACTGTGACAGCTGATGACTCACAAACCAGGAGAAAGAGACAGATATATGGTCAGTCTCAACACTTTACAAGGAATATTACTAACAGATGTTATATATTGTAGTGTTTCTGACTAGCCTTTACTGTAACCTCATGTTACATGATAGGTAACAATACAAATTTTGAAATGGAGCATTTTAAAGATCTTTCTCCAAAGTAATCTTTCAATGATGAGAAAACAGTATTGAATTAATGCTGAAGCTTAACATTTATAGCCCAAACCACATGCAATAAATCAGAAAATTTCAAAAATAGGAAACTTTTGCTTTTTAGTATACAACACCTACCCCACTGCCACTGTGATCATCCAAGTACTGGATGTGAATAACAATCCTCCACAGTTTGTCTATCCCATGTATCCAGTTAATCCAGTAGAACTAAGGATGTACTTTGGAGCTATAGCCAATGACAGCAGGCCAGACCAACAGATACTGGAGGTCCACGTAAGTACCTCTGTTTCTCTCACTGTTGTATTACTTGAATATATTGAATAATTGCTGTATTGGGCCCCTTGATGATAGAGCATTACTTTTTAAGAATTCTTGAAATTATTAAGATAATGCTGAAACCTTACTCAGAATGCTTGAAATGGTTGTTTAAATGCTGCAACTCTTGCCAGAGTGCTAAAAATGATTGTGGCAGTACAATATTGTTTTACAAAGAATGCTTGAAATGGTTGGGATAATTCAGGACCTTTTTACTCAAGAGTTTCAAATGATAATGCAGAAGTGCTTCTCAGTGTTTGAAATGATTGCAGGTTGGTCATTATACAGCTGAACTATAAACTTCTGCTTCTTGAATTGTAGGCTAGAGATCTGGATCTAGGTACCAATGGCAGAGTGACTTACTCAATCAAAGACAACTCAGGAATTCCAGCAAACCCACCGTTCAGTCTTGCTGCTGATGACGGAATGGTCACTACCAAGAGAGATCTGTCCGCAGAGATGCAGAAGCCTGCTCAGTATCGCTTCAAGGCTGTAGCCACAGATAACCCTATTCTGTTCTCACAAAGGCAAACAGATGAAGCCAATGTCTATGTAAGTTTACTTCATAAAAATTAATGTTATAAATGTTGAAATCTGTTGTTTCTTAACATTTTTACAAAGTGATACAAATATTATTGAAAGATACTGAAGTTTTCCTATGTAAAAGCAATTCTGTTGAAAATTTTTTTGGGAAAGCAGGAAAGCAAGTTATGCCTTTTAAATGTCATTGTTTGTGCAAGTTAAATGTCATTGTTTGTGCAAGTTATCTTCAAAATTGATTGACTTGTATTACCTAAGTTTTTATAGAAAATCTATTCCAGATAGTTGTGTGTGCTCCGAATTTAAATTTTTGTTGGTTAAATTTTCAGATAAACTTGATTCATCCATTCCATCGGTTTGTGATGGTGTTCCAAGATAGAAGTCCAGAGGATATACTACCAAAGAAAGAGTTCATCAGACAGTGAGTACTCCTATATGTTAGAGTAAAGTACATATTGCAGATCACCAAATTTTGGCAACACCTTGTTTTCGCAAATTACATATTTGGTATTAATAGGCAAGACAAAATTTTCATGAATGCTGGTTGTTGCTGTATAAATCTCTTGCTTATAAAAATATACTCCAGTATGTGAGAATAAAATTTTTGCAAGCAGACTGTCTTGCGTGGTAATGCGAAAATAAAGTTCTTGTGAATAAAAAGTGATTTTACAGTATTTCAATTAACAAACTCTTCCTGTGGCTCTCTTGTATATTTATCAATTTATTTAATTGCAGAGTTATTCAGAATGTGACAAGAAGGGTGGCTATTATTGAGAAGGTTGAGAAGAAACGTTTTCTCAATGACATGCAGAATGTTTTGACAGACACAAGCACTGTACCTGAGTAAGTATGATGCTTATTTTATTTGAGTAAGAGAATTGCTGATGAGTTAATAATGGAAAATGAGTGACTAGTATCTTTACAGAGAGGTTATGGCTTTAGTTAATTCATTTCTCTAATATTTATCTGGACTAAAGATTTCAAAAGAGAACTTGAATTTTCTGGATGAGTAATAGAATCCTTTTTCATTGCAGCTCTGATTTATACTTTGTTCTACAACAAACCATTGAACCATACCACCTGATCAACAATACAGAACAGGATACGTAAGTTAGCCAAATTATCTACTTCTGTTCTTCAGGTTACCATATGATTAATATCCTAACTTTTGCCTTTTTCCTCGAAGAAATTTTAAGAAATAAACTATTCAGGTCTTTCTTGTCTTGCCAATAGATTATTCCCAGAGAATGTGCAGGATGAATTGAAGAACAGAATAGGTGGAGATCCCAGCCTGAAGGTCATCATCATCCGGAAGCCATTTGACAGTCAGGCCAGCCGTATCTTCCAGCTGAGCAAGTCCTACGTGTGGTGGCTGGACGACCCCTGGGCAGCTCTCGTCGCCCTGGCCGCCATCTCAATACTCCTCTGTCTCGTTGGACTCATTGTCATCATTTTCACTCACTCAAGGTCAGTGTCCAAGGGACATAACTACATGCTTGATCTCGAGATTTAGTTTTGTCAATCTGTTTATGTTTGTTTCATATATTTTTTTCTCTAAGTGGTTTGTGTTTCATTCCAGGTATACAAGGTATATTAATGAGTATGCAGCAGCTATGAAGGTGTATGATCAACCAGAGTTTGTAGAACCACCAAGTTTCCTTAGGGAATATGAAACACAGGTATGGCTTAGCCCTTTAATTGATTATATCATTTTCAAAGGGAGAAAATAGATTTTTTTTAATATGAAATTAAAGCTTTGTGCAAGATCAGGGAACATATTTTTTGTCATTGATTATGAATTCAACTATCTTGATATAATCATAAAGTATTTTATTTGCATTGAACAGAGTTTAAATATGTACGTCCCACCTGATGAGGCAGTTCAGGATTCAGGGGAAATCAACCTGACATTTGAAGGAGATAACTTAGTAGCAGCAGAACATATAGGTGGAGACCAGGGAATTACTTCAGCAGTTAATCCCATTTACCAAGAGTAAGTATCAATAACTTTGGCAGTTTATCCCATTTACCAAGAGTAGGTACAAGTATCAGTATATCAGCAGCTATTTGTTGTGGCCTTAGCTATGCAGATACTGTTAAGAAAAATTTCAATTTTATGACAATGTGGAGATTAATTTTTTCTCAAGAGAAAAAGAAATAATTCTAAAGCTAGGATTTTTAAATGATTGTAGAATTATTATATTTTATTTATTCTTTAGACTGACATTGAATAACCTTTTAATGTTATTTTGTTTTCAGAGATGATTCACAGATTCAACAACCAAGGCCAACAGGATTTACAGAGAGTACAACGATGTTGTGATTGTAGACATTAATAAACTTAACTAGAGACTTGTTTAAGGCCATCAATATATTTATGGCTACGCACTCCATTCTGCGGCTTCTAATTTTTCATTTGCATATATTCCTCACATCCTCCATTTTAACCCATCATGCCCCAGAAGTACAGGAGTGCAGTTATTTTTTCCTAAACAAAGAAGATGGATTGCAACAAATAAAAGTGAGAAAACTCAGGCAAATGTTATCATGAAATTCCATAGAGGTGCCAAGGGAGGAGAGAATTTCAAAAAACTATTTCTTGAGTGCTATTGTGCAAATATTCTATGCAGATTTAATTATAATTTATTAATTTTTTTTACAAAAGTTAGTGCTGATCGAATGACAATAAATTATTTTATAGATTCCTATTATGTTTTTCCACAAGATTTATTTTTTCTAAGTATCATACAAGAAACATATCATGGATTATAAAAGGCATATCAAACTTTCTTTTTTAGTTGCATTAAGTGTTTGTTACATTCCATGACATTTATATTATGAAAAATGTGATTATTATGTTATTTTTCATGAAAATTTTTATAGTGAAATCTTAGCAGTTAATGTGATTTTACAGGTGTTTGTGATATACAATGTTATATTTCTATATACAGGTAGAATTTTGACTTTTTTTTTGTACAATTGACTCGTCTATCAGTGTACGTAGTTTGCTGAATTCACTTCGAAATGTTCTGTAAAAGCTTGCCATCATTCACAATGTTGGGTGTATAATTTGTTTGCCAGTATAGTGTGTTTGAATGACAGGAAATGAGAAGCACATATTTCAACAATTTGTATTTTTTTATAAACAAATATACTCTATTTTTCAATAATTTTATATTTTGTTTTGTTTTTCCCTTGATCCTGGGGTCATGAAACAGACGAATTTCGGTTAATAAGGTGAACTAAACAAGATCAGATCATGGATATTGATGATTTAATCCTGAATCTTCAATGTTTTGTGATCCTGTAGACTGCTGAACCCAGGTTTAAAAAGCTGCCTTAGAGAGTTGCTCTGACTCAAGGAAGGTGTAAGTAATTCCAGTTGCTTCTTGGTGAATTTTAAACAGGTATGACTACACCTTGCCAGAACAAGAAATGGGTGATTATGTTTAGGCCTCTCTTATGACTATGAAACATGATGAAATAGGAACCCTTTCTGTGAGAAAATACTATATTGGAAAGAACAAAAAGAAAGTGATGAACTTCCCTTTTTCTGTTCACCTTGAAGGCAAACTGGGTTGATTTCACCCACAACATTCATATTTGTTTCTTTATGCAAATTCTCTTTTTCAAAGTTGACGCCATTGAATAACATTTTAGTTTTGAGGTTATATATACTAAATGGAGCTAGTCTATTCTTCTGAGAGAAAAAAATGTATAGGGCAAAAAGTAGACTTTCAAAATTTAGAGGGTCCACTTAAGAATAGCAATATACAAAAGAGTACCTGTTGGGAGAAACAGGTTTATTATATGAACAGATCAATAGGACATCCTCATATAGACTAAAAATTATGGAGGTCTCTTTTTTTCCCACAAGGTGTGGCTTAATCACAATGGATTGAATCAGTAACTTAAAAAAAAACAAGTTACGGAATTTTCACACACCCGCAACACTAAGTAAAGGAAACGAGACGAGAACGTGCTGCATTTCTAAAAAGTTTTTTTACACAAGATTTAGAATGAATTATGTAGAAAAACAACAGCAATAAAGGTCAAAAATCCACTGGAACAATACAAAATTGAAGAAGAGCAAAACCCCCAAAGTGCGTGGGATCATGTGCCATTGAGGAGACAGCGTCTCTCGCCCAACCGTCAAGCCCGCCATGTGCTCCTTGTCATGATCAGACATACAGAAAAATCCATAGACTTGAATTAAGTGTGAAAATAATAACATATAAAAACTTATTTTTCAAAAAAATTGGTCAACATTCAACTTGACGATAGATTGTATTTTTTACAAGGTCATTGCATGAACTGCTGATATCTTTGGATTATCAAATATTTTGTCAATAACTTTGCGCCGGAATACCGGTACTACAGACACTTATTCTAGTATCATATTTTTTTCATCATACTGTAACTCACCGGGATATCAATATACATTGTATTATTGTCCAGAATCGTATTGTTTTTTAGATCAAAAGGTCAAGGTCATACATTACACGTTCCGTTTTTGTGTACCACTTTCGTTTGCAGACAATATATCAAGAAGTCTATGGGCTTTTGCAATGAAATTTCCTATGCCCTGAAGAAGACCACTATTGTTTCAATGGTCAAGATGAGAAATTCATTCTGTTTTTGTGAAATTTTGTTTCCGAGCGATGTTCAATGTGTGCACCAGGTCACGTGATCCTCACACGATCTCTAAATATAGAATGAGCGATGTTTTTAAATTTAAGGTCTGACTTTATGTATTGAATTTTTTTCATCGCAACTCCTTATGGACACATCTTTTAAAGTCTGAGAGTTTTTGCAACAAAATTTTATATCCCAATTCCTTTTTGCCTAAAAAAAGACCCCTATTAACTTTGACAGAGGTCATAAGATCAAATATCAAGGTTAAAAATTTTTATAACAAATATTATTTTCCATATCATAACTTTAGTTTTTCCTTTATCTTTCTTTACAAAAAATAATATCACAACTTCCTATGATGTAAAGACTCAATTTTGAGGTCAAAAGGTTAGAGGTCATGGTTATTAATTCATAGATTAATTTTTTGTGTGTTACTTTTGTTTCTGGGTGACATCTTACAATGTCTTTGAGCTTTTGAAATGAAATCTATCATAACTCCTTATGAAATCAAGAAAATCCATTTTGATCTCAAGATCAAAGGGTTAAATGTCATAATTTCATAGCGACATTCTTTCGTTTTCTTTGAGCTGTCTTTGAAAAAAATTACCATCACGGTAGAGTGTTCGCCGCGCGACTAGAGGGTCGCGAGTTCGAATCTTGGCCAAGTCTGACCTAAGTGGATAAAAAATAGGTTGCAGCGTGTCCGGCACATTTGGATGACAAGTCCCCATTTAGACCCATATAGATTTCGAGGTCAAAAGGACAAGGGTCAAGGTGAGAAATACATATTGCATATACAAGTTCCTCATGCCCCATGTTGTCAGATTGGTTGTCGTTAGCAACACATCATAAACCGACTTAAGCTGAAACTGCAATCTCTGGGGCTCTGTTATCCAGATCTAATTCCATGACGTCTTCTTCTGTTTGACTCCTTCCCAGTTTAGCCAGTTTCCCTGCTTCTTCATACCAACTGTCTTCGCCATTCTTGCGTGCTCTTCCATTTTTCGCGCTTTTCTGCACAAGTTGTCTCTTCTCCACCGACTTTACCATCATAGTCATGGCTGCAGAGAACAGAAATACTAATACTATACAGTCTGTGACAATTCCAACTTCTAGGCGCTGACACGCTGTTGTGAGGTCCTGGGTTGTGAACTGTAATTGAAGTCTGTCAAAGTAACTCTTGAGCAGCGTCCGCATCCTGTCTGGTATATGGTAGCTCGATCTGTAGTGTAAGATGGCCTAGCTTGTGAGGCATGGAACCATAAGCATTCGTTAGATCCAACCATATGACTGCCATTTCTCTTGTCATCTCCATCTTTACTTTACTTTAAACATATTTTATTGATAATACAATAAGGATTGGGCAACAGGCAAGGCCTATATACACCCTCTCCTTGTATAATAGGTCAAGATACAATAATAAGTAATAATATATGCACATGATAATCAGTTAGATTAGATCTCCATCTTTAGCTTCCTGTATGATCTCAGTTAGAACATATGTATGCTCTGTACACTCCCCGAGGCTTCTGGCATTCCTCCTTTCTGCACAGCTATGTCTATGTACTTTTAGTATATAGGTTTTCATCCTCTCGGCCAAAATAGCCAAGAAAACTTTCCTTTCGATGTTCAATAGGGAAATGGTATGGAACTGTTCCAATGACTTTGAGTTTCCCATTTTGCAATAAAGCATCCCTCGGCTTGGTGTCAGCTGTCAGCTAACTGCCCCCCTCCTCCACACAACTCTCAGATTTAATTTCCATGAGCGTTGGATTAGTCTCGGACAGTTCTTGTAAACTTTGTATGGAATCCCATGTTGTCCCACTGATGGTGAAGCTGTTCTGGCCTTCCTGATTACATCTTAAACATCACGCAACTTGGTTCCCTTTCGTCGAACAAATGGTTTGTATTGTCAGGCTGTTTTAACTTCTCGAATTCTCATAAACCTTCATCCCTCCTTGAATCGCAATGCATATCCTTCAAATACTGTTCGACTTTCTCTCTATCCGCTGTTGGCTTTCCTGATCCTTGACTGCCTAAAAGTCTTGATGTAAATTGGAATGGATTGGCTGTAAATTGTGCTCTTGCTCGCTCCTTTCTTTTCTCCTCGTTCTGTCTGCCCTTCTCATGATCTGTAGCTTCTCTAATGTTCGTCCTTAATTCACCTATAACCGGTCGTTTCCTCTCCTCTGATGTTCTAACCCGTCTTGCCAGCTGTTTCTCGCCTTAGATTAGTCATCTCATTTTGTCTCCTGTGCTCATTCGATATTTATGGGGCGCCGTTTCAAAGAAAGTGACTCTCATCAGCCTATTCGAATAGGTGATATCACTTAATTCAATTTAAATAGGTGATATGATATCACTTATTCGAATAGGTGATATCACCTATTCAGCATGAATAGGTGATCTCACTTATTCGAATAGGTGATATCACCTATTCGAATAAGTGATATCACCTTTTCGAATAGGTGATATCACCAATTCAAATCAAATAGGTGATATCACCTATTAAAATAGGTGATATCACAATGATCTAAAATTAAGAGAAGAATAGGTGATATCACCTATTCAAAATCTGAATAGGTGATATCACCTATTCAAATAGGTGATATCACCAATTGAATAGGTGATATCACCTATTCGAATAGGTGATATCACTTTTTGGCAGTAAATACCAAAACGGCGCCCCATAGATATTCCTCTTGGTTGCTCCTTTTCTTCCTAAAGCTGTTCAGTCCTGCGTTTTACATTATCGCTGCCATGCCATGCCTTTGATCTTCTTGTCTTTTCTTCGTGCAAGTGATGCGGTTAGGATTTTGTCTACATCGTAATCAAACTTCTCCCGTTCTTACTTATTGCCTCTAGCTGGCCACTTGATTTTCGCTTTCCTCTCTAATTCTGCTGGCTGCCTTCTGGACTCGCGTGTCTGCTCTTCTGATGTTACCCCTTCTCCTTGACTGCCCACTCTCGTTGACTGGCGCTTGGACGCTGTCGTTAGATTCCTGGACCACCTCTTCTAGCCCTGTATCACTGAGTTGCCCTGTGCGTTGCGTCAGTCGCTGAATTGGAGTGCATCCCGTCTTTCCCATGTGTATTTTCAGCCCCTCTTCGTTCTTTAGGGTCTTTCCATAACTACATCTGCTCGAATTCGATCAAACTCTCAGTCCTTGGTCGGTCATGTGTTGTTTCCGTAACATCCTCTAAAACAGGGTGCTCATCCTCCCCCGCTCTCTCTCGACCCCCGGGCTCTCTTTTTGTTCTCTTTTTTATCTCTCTTTGTATCTGTCTAAAGCGGATTCTAAAAGGTTCCTCCTCACAGAAGATGTTTTCATGGTTTTGGCCTGCTAAACCTACACACCCTCGGTTGTCTGTCTGTCAGTGATGCTATGTAACAAAGATTCTGTAAAAGTCTCATTAAATTTCATTCAGTGGTATAAGAGGAGTTGCGGATAGGAGATGGGTACCCTAAAGCGTAACGGAAGGACGGACGGGCGTATAGACGGACGGATATCCCGATAACTGTACATCCTCCAAC